TATAAGAATATTTTTAATTGAAACAATTTTTTAGTGTCAACAGGTGTTTCCTTAGAATGTTATTACTATAACAATTATCTGCTTTTATTTTATATTTTACGACCCATTTTGTGTTCATTTAAAGTCTCCTAGATCTATATGAAAAAATAGAAATAAAAACGTTATATAAATCCACCGCAAATATATAAATACAAATATATCCAGCTACTCCGTATTGATTTTTGCGCTGAAATATGACAGCCATAAAATTATTGGCTATAAGAATATTTTTAATTGACACAATTTTTTAATGCCTACAGGTGTTTCCTTAGAATTTTATTGCTATAACAATTATCTGCTTTTCTTTTACATTTTGCGACCCATTTTGTGTTCACTTAAAGTCTCCTCGATCAATATGAAAAAATGGAAAGAAAAACGCTATATAAATCCACCTCAAATAAATAAATACAAATATATCCAGATTCGTGTATATTATTCGGATTTATCTACTCCGTATTGATTTTAGAGCTGAAATATGACAGGCATAAAATTATTGGCTATCAGAATATTTTTAATTGAAAGGATTTTTTAATATCAACAAGTGTTTCCTTAGAATGTTATTACTATAACAATTATCTGCTTTTCTTTTACATTTTGCGACTCATTTTGTAGTCATTTAAAGTCTCCCCGATCAATATGAAAAAATTGAAAGAAAAACGCTATATAAATCCACCGCAAATATATAAATACAAATATATCCAGATTCGTGTATATTATTCGGATTTATCTACTCCGTATTGATTTTTGCGCTGAAATATGACAGCCATAAAATACAAGCTGCCTGGAGGATGCTGCCTAGTGCGTGAGATATGATAATCCCCAAAGTTTATATTTCAACATATTTCTACGCGATAAAAAGCGTCATAGACTGCCGCTGCATGGTCAATAAAAATATCTCTTGTTTCTCATGTTAAGTGTAATAATTACGGACGCGAATATCGAATAACAAATGTACGCGAAAACAGAATTTAAAGGGGATGGATAGACGTAGAGGAGAGAGTTTAAAGATCAAAGATAACTTTGAATTAAATGGCATTTTATCAAAGCATTCTTCAAATAATATTGTCAAAGCTCGACCCTTAATAGCGACTCTAGGGCTCTAAATCTTAATTTAATTCCGTTTCTGGACACACCTTCGTTACGATTTGGGTTGCGACATTTGCAATTTATTAACGTGGTCTGACAAACTACCGATGAGATGATTTAAATCTTAGTTCGGACAAAATGAGTTTCGGAGATCGCGTTGAGTATCACGTAATTTTACATGGCTTTAAGTTAAGTTGATGGTTTTTGGGAATTGGTTGGCAAACTGTAAACAGCCGAGCATATCCGCTGAATTATTTATATTAGAAGAAATTGGTAATATAAAAAATGTGGTATACTCAAAAAGGCTTCAAAAATAGTTCAAATCAATCAAAAAATGCTGCGACACCCAAAACGTTGATACTGTTGAATACAAAATGAATAAGGTTAGAACAAATATTCATATCATTAAGATAACTTTTTCTTTTTCCCTAGTAATTTTACGCATATCAAATCAAATGTTATACAACAATTATTTAAAAGCAAATTTTCGATAACCAACATAGAGCATTTAATATAATATAAATATAATAATATAAAAGGATAACCAAAAAACCTATAACCAAATAATTGTTTCTTTTTTTTCTCTGGTTAATATGATTGCCTGCCTGGTAATATTATTATATTTTTATTTCAATGAGAAACATACTACTAGATATGTTATTATACTTTTTAGTTAGTTTCCAATATTATAAAATTTAAGTAGGTTTTGGTTCTCAATTTGTTGTAAAATTAAAATAGGATTTGATCGGTTTTTGTTCAGTAGACAATTTAAATCATGCATGCATTACATGCGTTATAAGTTTAACAGTTATGTGCTATGTGAAAGGTATTATTTCTTTTTATTTTTCGTTCCGTAATTTCTCTTACAAATTCCGTTTATTTTAAGCCTTTTTCAATATATTTACATTTTTAACTCACTGTGTAACCCTATGTATATCAGTATGTTATTAAAAATATCAGTTTTAAATGAACTCACAAAATAGTGATTGAATACTGAAAAAGAAAGAGGACTTTTAAGAACAAAAGAAAAACAACCCATTGTGTTTTCCATTGCTAATTTAATAATTATTACAAAAAACGCAAACTTAAAGTAGATGTTCTGCGTCGCCACCAGGCACTTCGATACATTTGTAATTCGTTTAATGAAGGATTGTCTTATTTTAAATATCAGTTTTTGATTCGGAACTCATTAATAACACCCTGAATTTTATGCTAATGTTCTTCACGACTGTTTATTTAGTCTTTGTAAACCAATGTTGTAATATATCCCCAAAAACAAAAGTCCATTATCCAATTAATAATTACAGGAATACAGATATTAAAAAATAATACCTTATTTACTTGCCAGAAAATGGCCGTATCTTATCCGAAATTAAAATTCATCGCAGCTTCGAAAACAATAGTAGTTGTATGTTGTGGTAATATTACTGTTTTTTTTTATTAAGTTGAATTTTTGTTGAGTCTATTTTGCATAATGTATACGAAGGAGAAAAAAGTTGACCTATTAGAATGTTAGATCGCCAATAACAAAGTCCAGCTCTTGCTCTCAGAAATATAGAGCCAACTCTCCCCATAATCGATTGCCAGGAAAAAAAATGTTTGCCAAAATATACCAGCAGACTAGCAGTTTCGAACAAATGGTAGTGTTTTAGTGAAACAAAGTAGAAGCCGAACGGTTTTGGATGAAAATATACAGCTAGATATTTTTGCATTGTGAAAATATTCCAGAGTCCTTCAACCGCCATGCCGTTTCAGATTAAGAGTTATAAGCCATTTAAATTTACATTAGTACAAAAGCTACAAGAAGCAGCAATTTTTCAATATAATGATGGATAGATATATCATAACATATTTCAAAATATAATTTGGACCGATGAATTAATATTTACAACGACTGCGGTGTTATTTAATAGAAAAATTACGCATTATTGGATTTCAGCAATTAAAAAAATGTGTTTTTGAAGCAAACAAGCAGGGTCGAAGATCCGTGAAAGTATGGTGCGCAATCTAGAGATCTAGAATTTTCGGTCTCATATTTTACCAACATAATTTAACATCCGTACAATATTTAAACTTATTAAGAAACGAAGTTTGGTCACTTATACGAGGTGTGCTCAAAAAGTATCGCGAATTTTGTGTTTTTTCAAAAATTATTTATTTATTCATGAATATCTATTTTGTCCCCTTCAAAGTAATCCCCATGAGATATTATACACTTGTGCCAACGGTTTTTCCAATCTTCGAAGCACTTCAAAAAATCATTTTTTTTTTATCTTCTTCAGTTCCTCCTTCGATGCCGTCTTAATCTCGTCAAGAGAAGCGTAACGTCGTCCTTTCATGGGCCTCTTCAGTTTAGGAAACAAGAAAAAGTCACAGGGGGCCAGATCTGGGGAATACGGTGGCTGCGGCATCATTAGTGTGTTGTTTTTGGCCAAAAAGTCGCGCACAAGCAACGATGTGTGAGCAGGGGCGTTATCGTGGTGCAAAAGTCAATTTTTGTTCTTCCACAAATCCGGCCGTTTCTGGCGGATTGCTTCGCGCAAATTGCGCATAACTTGCAGGTAATATTCCTTATTGACCGTTCTTCCCTGTGGCAAGAACTCATGATGCACCACGCCCCTGCAATCGAAGAAAACTGTCAGCAAAACTTTCACATTCGACCGAACTTGGCGCGCTTTTTTCGGTCTTGGTTCCTGCGGCAGCTTCCATTGAGATGATTGAGCTTTGGTTTCCACGATTCGTCACCAGTTATGACCCTCTGGAGCAAATTTGGGTCGTCGCGGACGGAGTTTAACATTTCATTAGCAATGTTCATGCGATGCTGTTTTTGGTCACAATTGAGCAATTTTGGTACGAATTTCGCGGCGACCCGTCTCATGCCCAAATCATTGATAAAAATCGAATGGCACGAGCCGATCGATATGTTTAGGTCCTCAGCAACGTCTCTAACGGTGATTCGACGATTGGCCAATACCATTTTCTCCACTTCATTAATTTTTTCGTCTGTTGTTGAAGTGCTCGGGCGTCCGGCACGCTGTTTGTCGTTCACATCATCTCGGCCTTCTGAGAACATTTTGTACCACCGATAAACGCTGCTTCGGTCCAAGGTAGCTTCTCCGTATGCCACAGTCAACATTCGGAATGCATCCGCGCACTTAATTTCGTTTTTCACACAAAATTTGATACAGGTTCTTTGATCAATTTTTTTGAATAGGTAAAAATCGAAGACGATCCAAAACACGTGCAAGCAAAGCAGCTGTCAACAATTAAATGAACATTCAAAATGGCCGATCTTGTCGGCATAAATGAGAGACATGAGTACCAACATAACGCCACAAAAAATTCGAAATTCGAATATACATAACCCGCGAAAATTCAAAATTCGCGATACTTTTTGAACACACCTCGTACATAATAATATTCGCCAAAAAGATCATCCTAATTTAATTTGGCAGCAAGATGGCGCTCCTTACCATCGAAGTACGTTTTTTAAACGAAAATTTGACACTGTAGTTTGAACAAAACGGAAGCATCTCCCGGCCAGCGAGGGTCCATATTTGACCTCGATGGACTTTTTTTGTAGGGCACTTTGAAAGATATGGTTTACAAAGATAAAATTCCCCGGTAGGTTTCGAGATAAGGAATAGGCCCAATTAAATGGGTCACCCTGTACGTGTTTGTGTTGTATGGGTTAAAATAAATGGTGAGGAAAATTATTAAAAAAACAACCCTTCGACCAATACATAAACCCCACAAAGTAATGTTGTTTCTTACTTCTTCTAGTCAGTATCATCCACCGGTAATATCAGCCATATAAAATCAAATGGTGAGCAAAATAAACCCCGCAAAGTGATACTAATAACATATTTACAAACCTGATATCGTATTCTTATAAAGGGGCTTCCCATTCAAATTTATGGCAGCGCTGACATGAAACTCTTCCAGATCGAGGGTCAAATTCATGCATACTTTTTGGTTGAGTCGATCCAAAATATAACCTGTGCAGCATCCGCATTCCCACCCGGAACAGGAACACGGGACTCGGAAACCCTGTAGAAACGGCTTTCGGGTGGTGGTTGATAAAATTTGGGTTGACAGGGGAGAGACGCTTTGAATCGCTTCTGTCGCATTTTCCGCTGAAACTGTTATTATATTGCGTCTTAGATTTTTCGATAAAGTCTGGAAGTTTTTTCTTCGTGCGGTATGTAAAATAATTTTTTATCGCGATTCGGGCGAAAGTTTGGGGTTTTATGCGACGGAAAATTGTGGTCGTGGCATAAAATGTTCGATTGTATCCCGTTTCTACAACAGATACTTTTATCTAACGAGCCCGTTATAGGCGTGTTTATCTTTTAGCTCGTTAACAGCACAATTTTCAGAACAACCTGGGTTTTCAACTCTTGCCAAACATACACAAATGTAATATATATTGTTACGCTGCCGATAAAGCACTATTCTACAAAAAGATGCATTTCCTGCATAAACTTTTCTGTTTACTTTAGAGAACATGAAACACAATACATAAAACAAAAGCCCCCTTTTGTCGGTTTTAATGTATGCGCTTTTTGTATATTAAAAATGTCTGTTTCATTCTGTTTTCGCACACCAATCCGATCTATTTTGTATCAGGGTTTTGTTTTATTCCCTTTGATGATGAAATTCTTTTGAATCCACTTGTGATACTAGTTAGAGAATACATATTCCGACTATTCAGTTCGCAATTTTTTTATCAATCCGCTTTAGAGCGAGTAACGTCATGTTCCAGTTAGCGGCCCTTTTTATTTTATAATTGGTTTAGCCATTTTGATAAACAAACCGCCTTTTTTTCGCTTTTGGCTTATGGAAACCAACCCATTAACAGGAATAGCCAGTAAGAGTCGTCCATTCTTAATTAAAAATATAAATGCTATCCAATTTTTTTTTGGAAAAAGTTTTACATCATCTAAACATTTTTTTCAAAAATCACCAAACCCAAAAGTATGTAGAAAATACAGACTCATCTTTGGCGGATGGTTACATTGCTTTCTCAATAAAACCATAGTTGACCACAAATACCTTGAATTTGACGTTTGTCAATTCTGACGGCCATGTCAGTGAATGTATTCGTGTTGTTTGGCAAAAATATACCCAAAAATTTACGGTCGTAGAAAAAGTATAGTATGCAACAACTCAAATGCCATTTACCACACTTGTTGCATAATATACTATTACCGGGTTACCTGATCATGGGAAAATTGTAATTGAAACTTTTAACCTAGTTTTTTCAAATAGCATCCTAGTAGGAACAAACACTTTTTAAGACCGGTACTTTTTGTGCAACATTATGACACCAAATTTTCAAAATTTCTTAAAAAATAAGCTCACAAGAAGGAAAAAACCAGATAAGTAAATACATTTTTATAAAAACAAAATATTACTTAGGTGGCTTTGTTTCTATTCATTATTACTTGTCAAGTCGGTAATATTACAAATGCAGAAGAAACTCTCATGCAGTGGAAAGAAAAAAACATTTGTATTTAAAAAAAAAATAAAATTCAAGGGAGAGTTTCCCATTTTGTTTATATTTTTTCTCCTGCGCTTTTTTTATAGTACATATTTTTTTCTGTGACCGCAATAAAAAGGCATAAGATTTGTTCTTTGTAGAAAGCTGCAATCAAAGCCATTTAACCCATCGTTAGCTTAATTTGTTCTTTGTAAATTTATTTTATCGCTTTAATAGACGTTTAGTTGTGTGCGAAATAGAGTAATAAAATTATACTTACCATGCAAAATTCCGAAACCGTTTATAAGCGCGACACTTAGAGCCACGAGACCACGTAAACTGCGGTCTGGTGTCATCTTCATTAAGTGAACTTGATAATAACCGACTGTTCACCGAACTAAACGGTAAATAAAGCATTCCCGTCTCGTCTGCCAATGTGCCACTTTCTTAATCAACCAAAGCTTTCACTCGGTTCACGAAAACAACCGGTATTTTCCGCAAATTTGGGCACGTTCTCAAATAAAAAAAAACGATCGTATTCATTCAATAAATTTATTTAATAAGATTATTTACATTTAACTTAACTAAAATAAATTAAATAAATAATAATAAATTACATTTTATAAGTCTCCTAAGAGCCAAATATTTTTGAAGCAGACGAAATATTCAACGCTACCAGTGCAACCTATCTAGCCACATGTCTCGACTCCTTCTACCTTCAGATCGAGCTTTAATTTTCAAGCTCCTAAATATGCCGTCGTCATCGTCGTCGTCGTCTTCTTCGCTTTCATCATCGTCGTCGTCCTCGTCATCTTCGTCTGCTTCATTTTTAACTTTTTCGCTTTTTTCACTCTCTTCGTCGTCGTCTTCGTCATCGTCTATCGTTTCTTCTACGCCATCCGCTATGTCGTCAAATATATCTTTGCCTTCCTTTTCATCGCTGTCGTCATCTTTAGGCGTCGTACTCTCCATTTTGATTTTATCCATTTTTTGTGCGCTATTTTCCGTACTTTCCTCGCTTTCATCTTCGTTTAAGACGTCTTCAACCGCTTCCGCTAGCGGGTCGTCTTCTTCTTCGCTGTCATCATTTTTAATAATAAGCGAAGGTTTGAGTTTTGCGGTCGTCGTTTCGACAGACATTTCCGTTTCACTTTGTGACATTGTATGTTCCGTGACGTTGATCGACATACCGGAAAGATTCGACGCACTTTGATTAGCGGAAATTTCAATGAGATTTACAACGTCGTTCTGGGGCCCGACTGATTCTCCCTTGACGATTGGCATTCTATCGACGGCCAAAGCGTTACTCGATTCATCTTGAAATGATTGCAAATTGTTGATTTGTTCGTTTAAAATTGCGTCGCCCGCAATGGGAATTTGCGTTGACGTCGATAGTATTACCGGGACTTTACTTTGCACTTTCGTATAGTGAGTCGTAGTTTTGGACGGTTTTGGTTTAACCGTTTGCTTTTTCGATGGCTTCGTTACGGCAGGTTTGCGGGTAATTTTTCTATACGGCGTCTTTTGGGTAGTGGTCGTTTTCGTTCTTCTTTTCTTTTGAACGCTGCCTGTAGATTCGTCTTCGTCGAAATAACCTCCGATAAAATCGTCGTCTAATACGCTAAACCCGGTATAATCTTCGGAAATCACGTCATTTTCGGAATCGTCTTCGTCATCGTCGTCGTCGTCGTCGTCGTCGTCATCGTCATCGCCGAAATCGAAATCGTCGTCGTCGTCGTCATCATCGTCGTCGTCGTCTTCATCTTCTACCGCGGGAAGAGGCTGCGGGGGTTCTAATTTTAAACCTTCGGGTCCGAATCTGAAGCAGGACACGCGGACTGCGGCCTCAATTTCTTGCAACGCCCGAAGTTCTAAGCCGAGGCATGCATTAAAGTTTTCTCCCTTACGGCCGATATTATAGACACGGCCACAGAACTTGGATACTCCCCCGGGCAAGGGCATGCATATCGGTTCGGGTCTTTTGCCTAAAACGGAAACAATTATTGATTATTTTGATTCTTAACGTTCCCCTATTCCACGTTTATTCGGTTATTTATTTATTGGTTCATCTTATAAATTGTTCGCCGTCAACAGAAAATTGAAGAAATTGCTCCCCTATTCAAGAGCGCATAATTGTTTAATAAGTTTTGTTCAGAATACATTCAAAATGTTTTATAATTTTATTCATATATTATTTTATTATCCTTATAAGTATTTGTTTATTTTGTTTTTCCTTGCTACGCATACATTTTGTATACTGCGGTTAAATAAATAAACCTAAACCTAAACCTATTACGATACAAGTAAACTTGACTTAAATTGATATACAGGGAGTCTCACCGGTGAGGAAACAGCACCTTTTATTTTTGTAAAATCTTGCTGGGCTATTTGAACATTTAAAAAGATGAAATTTGGAATACAATTTGCCAGTATCCTCTTTCCACAATCGTGAGTTTAAGTCTTTAGCAAATTTGCATTTTTTTTAAATTACCCTGTTATATTTTAGATCAAAAGGAGATTTCAAAATTCAATTCAAAAAACCAAATTTTTAGTATGTTACTACGTCTTATTTTTCCAAAACCTTCAATGTCCTTTCAACTGTGAGACTTCTGGTATAATAATTATGTTTCTTGATCGCCAAAAAGCATTGGATATTGACCAAATGATAAACTACTGCAAAATAATTTCAAGTAAACGAAAATTGGATACAAATATTTAGTATAAATACATCAATACATAAACACAAGTATCGAATATCTGAATTTATTTGAAATTTAAATGTTTCTATCAAACTAACCAAAACTAGATATATTGGAAAATATAATTTTTGTCTCAATTGGTATGTAACACAAAAGTTGGACTGTCAAAACCTGTGAAAAAATACTACAGATCAAATAAAATGAGTAATATGTCGGTAATTTCTAGCCACTTGGCAGGGAACTCTTGTCATGAATCGTTATTATTGACAAATTAACAAACAAATACGCAATATTACGTTCGTTGTTAATGCGTTCCTTTTGGTACAAAACCGCAAAGTTATTAAAACAACTCCAATTTCGGTTTGGGTCGTATTCAATTTTAAATTGTCGAAAATACGGGACAAGTTACAAAATGAAAGTTTCAATCAACGTTTAATTATTCCCGACTCGCATTGAACGAACAAATTAAAGCTATTATTAAATGGCGCAACATTAAAAAGAAGTTGATTGTAATTTCCAATCATCGAAAAGCCAGAAATACAAGTTTTCGACGTCAAGCGGAGGGTTAATTTTGTTGTATCCTTTAGATGGTGGTGAGTGACACTTACTGTTGACTGTGGTATTGGTTAAAACTCTTTCGCCGAAGCTCATTGATATGGCGAGACGATCACCATTAAGATATTGCAACGTCGCACATCCCGGTCCTTGCAATGACAATACTGGCAAGTTAAACTCTCTGCAGCAATTACAAAGTTTCGAGGAGCAACTGCAATATTTATTCGCCGATTCCTGTTGCCTTTTATTGCCAACTTTGCCGGTTTTTTTAGCAATTGCACCTTTCCTGATGTTCTTGTGCTGATAGCTTTTATCTGGAATAAAAATAACTTTACTCATCTATCGTCACGGCACCGTCAAGTTAAGTAACTCTTAATATTTGTATTAAAACCGCCAGATTTCAGCCCCATAACGTTGTTTGACTTACCTAGTAGTTAAGTTAACAAATGAAAACTGGGTGTTAAGATGTAATTTTCTAAAGTGCTGCAATTTAATCAGCCAAACAAAAATGATAAAAGTAAAGGTTTTTATTAATAGTTTTTTTTTTGTAAAGAATGGGGGTTAAAATTAGCATGTATCACTCTAGTAATGTATCCATGATACCAATTTTGTAATATTAATGTAAACGAAGTACTTATGGGGTAAATATGCGTGTTTTAAAAACGTTAATAAGATTAAATACAAAAGAGAGCCGTAACGGTTGCCCTAATATTTAGAACACTTTATATCCGCGTAACTTCAGGCGAAAATGTTGCTTTGAAAGTACAAAGTTTGACCGAGTGAGTATTCCTTTTAATTTGGATTCTGTGTTTTGCCGCTAGAAATATGTTTAAATGTGCGATGGAAGTTTTATAGTTCTGAAATAAGGCGGAGAAGATTTTTAGGGTTTTTGATAGTTGCATTCATTCAATATTTATTAGAGAAGTGTGTTTTGTGTATTTCTACTTTAAACAAAGATACAGTTTGCGCTAAAACTTTTCTCCAAAAACCGTAACACCAAAATTGCGTGACGGAGGAAAAACATGTGGTGTTAAGTGGTCCTTAAAAAATCTACTTGTCTTCTGAAGATGTATTTAAAGAAGCACTTTAGTATAGTATACTAGGAGCATAAGATATATTGATAGATTAACCTGGATACAACCAAATTAATAATTATTAATAGAACAGGCTATATTTAATGTGAGAATGCCTCTTTGATAGTACATAACAATAACTTGGTAGAACCATTTCATAAAATAAAATTACTGAAGGAAAGACCGATAGAGTAACCAATGAATAAATCCCGAGAAATAACAAAGGAGTAGGAAAAAAACATATTAACAGCAGGATAACACAATAAACCTGGCCATATAATTATAAATTGTAGGTATCATTTAATCCAACCTGTAGTCGATAGATAAATTTAGGTTACGTTACAGGGTTACATGAACACGAACAAGGCGAACTGACTTCTGAGAAAAAGTCAGCAGAAGATAAACAGCCTAAAAGAGTAATCAGTTGAGATATGTTGCACTTGTGAAAGGCGTTGTATATATTTTTCATCCCTACTAATCAAAAGTATAAATATAATTCAAAGGATGATTAGTGTTAAAAGAAGAGGGTGATAGAGTCACCTTAAATTGTTATAATATTCTTTTCTCTCGTCGAACATTGTAAGAGTGAAAAAGTGCTAAATACCATTTGATCAAAGCGGTTAGTATATAGTTAAACCTAGTATAAGAAGATAAACAGATGTCTGGCGAAGGGATACATGAAAACGGATAAGGCGAAATGCCTTCGATAGATAGAAAAAGACAAAGTAGTAATAATAATATAATAATAATAATAATAATAATAATAATAATATAATAAACAGTTGACATCTGTTGCATTTGTGGAAGGTGTATATATTTTTCATCCTCAGCAATCAAAACTAAAATAATGATTTAAGGATGCTTAGTGTTAAAAGAAGGAGATAGATACTCGGAAGTCACCTTAAATTGTTGTTAGTTATCCTTTTCGCTCACATTGTAAGAACAAAAAAGTATTAAAAACTATTTAATCAAAGCGAAGTTGACATAGAAACTTTATAGGACGGAAAGAAATGCGGCACATAATTATAGAATGTAAGTATCATTTAATTCAACCCGTAGTCGAGAGTTAGAGTTAATCCTAGTATAAGAAGATAAACAGATGGTCCTGGCCAAGGGATATATGAAACCGGATAACGCGAACTGACTTCGATAGATAAAAAAGACAAAGTAGTAAATAAACAGCCTAAAAGAAGAGTAATCAGTTGGGATCTGTTGCTCTTGTGGAATATGTTGGATACATATTTCACGCTCAGTAATCAAAACTAAAAAAATAATTCAAGGATGCTTAGTGTTAAAAGAAGAAAATTGCTGTAAGTTATCCTTTCCCCTTGTCGAACATTGTAAAAACGAGAAAGTGTTAAAAACCATTTGATCAAAGCGAAGTTGACATAAAAACTTTATAGGAGGTTAAGAAATACGGCACATATACTTCTAAAATCGCAAACTTCGTTACTTTCATAACTTTACGGTGGGTGACTTTTATTCTTTAGTTGTTAACTGCCTTTGAAAGGTTTTCTTCAACTATAAGTCACGCGGCTAGAGTTGGAACATATATGGGTTTGATTAGGTTTATCGCGCTCGCGAAAAGTTATCGGAAAATATCGATTTTAACAAAATGCAGAACATGAATTAGTGCCACACGATAAGCGTCTAAGATTAACGCAAAGCAATTTAAAGATAATTGATTTTGATTTGATGGTAGAGGAAATATTTGACCAATTCACGATATGATAAATAAATAATAACGATACTTAATCTCATCGAGAGATCTCTCATTACAAAACTCATTAAATTTGTAAAGCGCTTAGTTAAATGAGTTTGTCACGGACAAATGCAATTGCTATAATATAACTTTCCTAAGACTAAAGTATAATTGAATAGGAAATATAAACTGAATTATCGAGATGTTGGTTAGTTTAGAATAAGTAAATTTTCTATAAAATCGAAGCGACTGATTCATGATCTACGCATTTCTCGCCAGAGCCTAATAAATTTCTTTTGTCTTCTCACGAGCACGGTTCATAAACCAAAATAAATTTGCGAAGCAACGTACGTGCCTGTTCTTATAAGCTGCTATGAAATACAATCTCAAAAAAGGGGGAAAGTCGAGCCTACATTTCACAGAGCGCTGCAAAATTATTTAATTTATTAAGGCAATAAGCAGATAAATTTTGAGTTATCTGTGGTCAGTAGGTCACTATTTTTTATTAATTTCGTTAATAACGTATTCTTATATTCACCTTAATTTTAGATTAATTAGACAGCTACAAGGGAAATTGTTTTGGTTTCTCAGTCCAACGCACTTCCTGGTGAGTGTCAATTTGAAGTTCTGGAGAACTAATTAGATATTTTTTTTTAAATCTGATATATGACCATAGTGCGCCATTATCTAACTTTTTGAAATATTTACATAACCGCAGCGTTGCCAATTCAGCACGAATCAGTATTGTAAATTCAAATTGATTACCATGTTCATAGTTCAAATTTCTCGGTAACTTCTGTTAATATTTCCCTTTCTTCCGAAAAAAATGATTTTATTTTTCTTGCCTTATTAAAGCTTGACATCTTTTTGAGTAAAGTGAGCTAGCTATTCCAAATTTTACAGGGGTTAACATTTGTTAATACGTGACTTTGATGGTAAATCTTACAGGCAATCACAAAAATTTACACTTATTAAAATAAATTAGTAACAATAAGAAACTTTTTGTAAATGGAACCTTACATATTTGACAATACCGTTGAGAAGTCCAATAATTTATCTACAAAATCTCCATACATGTAAATATATATTGTGCTGTTTGCTGAGGACACAACGTTTATTAATTCAAACACGAACATCACTACCCTGAGTAATATTGAAACATATACTTTATCTAAGGCCAAAGCATGGTTTTCGGCAAATAATCTACAACTTAATGAAGCTAAAACGAAGAATTTATTAGTGTCTAGTAGCAGTAGGTTGATATGTGGCAGGGGATGCAAGATTCTGGGCGTTACCTTGGATGACACTCTGAATTGGTCAGAACACATTGGCGAGCTAAGTAAAAATCTTTCAAATATTCATTTTCTTTTGTGTCAACTTCGCAGAATGGTGAATTTTGATGTATTGAAGTCAACTTACTGTGGTTTATTTCACACGCGTATAAACTAGGCCACCATACTGTGGGGTAACTCCTCTTATGCCATTAAAATATTTAGGATGCATAAAAAGGCACTACGGATAATTACAAATTCAAATTTTAACGAACACTGTAAGCCATTGTTTATTAAACATAAAATAATGACGGTTCCATGTATATTTATATTTCAAAGTGTTCTTGAGATACACTCCAAAACCGGTAGTTTGCCGAGGGGTTCTGATTCTCATAGATATGACACCCGGAGTGCAAATAATCTCGTGCTTCCGAGATACAGGTTGCAGAAATCAAAACAAAACTCTCCTTATCTAAAGCTTTATAACGGATTGCCAAAATCTTTTAAACTTTTAAACTTTTAAATGAAAAACATTTTATTAAAATTAAATATGTTGCATTAACGGTTTTGGGAATTTCTTCGAAGAAGTAGTGTCACTGATAGTGAGATCCCAAGCCCTTCGGGCGCAAAAAAAGACGTATTGACTTGCATAGAAAGAGACCTTTGACGGATGATGAATTGCTAACATTGGCTGACGTTTCAGAAAGTGTTGAGGAATCGTTAATCAATAGTGGAAGTGAGTATGAGCCTTCATCAAGTGACGAAAGTGCAGAGTCGAACTAGGAAATTCCTCAACAGCCGCCTTCTGCTGGTCCGTTGCCAAATAGTAATAACTTGTCGAATATTGGATGGATAAAGTTGAAAAAAATTCCATTCTCAGGTGATTCTCGATTACGAGTAGATGTATCAGACCACACACCTCATGGATTTTTTAAATTATTAATCACAGATGAGTTATTAATACATATTGTTGAAGAGATGAATCAATATGCAGAAGAAGTTGTTCTTAGCGAGAAAACCACTGAGCAATCTCGAATTACGGCTTGGAAACCACTTACACTTTCCCAAATCAAAGTGTTTTTGACTTTACGGTTCAAATAAAGAGAACTTTTATTGGAAGACAGACGAACTTTGCCATTTGAGCTTTTTTATCCCAAAATATGAGCAGAAACCGATTTCTACTCATAATGCGTTGCTTGCATTTTCAAGAACCCAAAGAGAGGAGAACCTAGGTTCGGAGATCGATTGCATAAAATAAGATTCATTCAAGATTATATAAATAGTAAAATGAATGAAATTTATTATCCCGGAAAAAAATATGTCCCTTGACGAGTCAATGAGTCAAAATTTTTTCGCCAGGCCTATGACGCGACCCTTCTGTCATGCCAAAATGTCATTGAAATATGTCAAACTGACATCTGAAAATGTAAAGAAATATTGTTAAAAAGTCTTAATGAATGTTTTATCACAAAAATGATTTTCGGTTTTAGGGGGTGTTCATCAAATTTTTAACGTGTTAAGTGAATAAAGAATGTTCCTTCCACCATGAATGTAAAACATGTTAAAAATATCAAGACTTGCGTCAGAAACAACTATGAAGCAAACATATTATAAATTATTTTGAACTTAAAGTTTGTGTTTGTGATATAAATTTCCAACATAACGAACGGGATATTTTATTTATCCTATAAAATATCGGGACGTGTTTTAAGACGCCCTGATTCGTCTTATTAACGCACCGTAAGATGTAACGCAAAGTTCGGAAAAACGATTGTCTCATAGTACTTATTTGGAAGTATTCCGATGTGTAAAATACGACACTGAAAGAAATAAACCGAATTACATCCATTCGCATTCGGTGCGATTTCAAGTCGTATCGGAAAAAGAAAATGCATTAAGAAGTCTTCTATTTCCGCAAGATTCTGCATGTGATTGAGAATTCAATTTAACTTTTTTCCCATGCAAGATACAAACTTTAATGAAAATTTCAGTTTTGACTTTCGCGCCAGCAATATCCACGTGTCAAAGCGTAAACCGTGTCGATGTTAAAGGTGAAAAAGGGCGAAACGCAAAATCCGAGAGACGACGGTTCGGACAGCTGACAATATCTTTTTATCTTTACGTTTGAACGGGGGAGAAATTGTTTTCACAAAGCCATATATACGTTATAATCATTTGGCGGAATTGGTGATAAAATTTTATCTTACCTATAACAGCGGAGGCTGCAAAAGCTATTAAAACAAAAACAAGCAGAAGCTCGAAGATAAAAGACAGTTTCATGTTTGGCAAGCGATGCCTCAGGCTACTGCTGAATCTACTAGGACTGGACGGAAACGATTCTCTCGGACCTGATATCTAACGACGCTTCTAATACGATCTGTAAATGAAAAAGGCATGTTACTGCCGAGGGCATACAATGTATACCCTCGATCGTATCGGAAATAATGAGTAGATGCGTGGTTTAGACACTACAATTTTAGATCCGTTTTCTTTAAAGTAGTCCTAAAGCACTCAAATGAAATGGACCACATTTTACTCCATATACGACGTGTGTTGTGGTATATGTATTTACTTACGGACGACACAAAACATCTCATATTTTTCTCTAAACCAAAGTAGTGCTACTGCGATTAAATCAACCGGATCAAGAGCTATAATTTTACTTTTACTGGTCGTTTTTTGTTTTCTCTTAAGTGTTTTGTTAATTATGTGGCCCTTTTACCGCACCAATAAATGATTTTTTTATAAATAATTCTACAACTTGTGGCTCTATTTGTATTGTTCATTACAATTGTTTTGTTTAAAACTAAATCAATTGTTAAAGTTTATGTTGTTCAAAAAATGTTAAATTTTGTAAAATCACTTATTGAATATTTCTCAATATTAATGTTGATATATACAATGAACTGATTATTGCCAGCACTGCCATTGCATAAAAATTAGTGCTAAAGCCCTCAAATGAAATGAGCCACATTTTACTCCATATACGACTTGGGTTGTGGTTTATGTATTTATTTAGGGACCACACAAAACATATCATATATCTTTTCAAAGAAACTTTCACAGGCTGCTGTAATACTTTTTACAAAACTTCTGGATTCCTCCTCTTTGCTGAGTCGAACTTGCTGAAGTTCTTTCAAAAGGTTCCAACTTCGTCCTTGCCCCACGTATTATCCCAAAAGAGGAAATCATTTCAAATGTCGAGTCTATCCTAAACAAACTGCCATCTCAAACAGCTAATGAAATTCGATTTGAAACAGCAAAAATCCTTAAAAAATCAAAACCTCCTCAATCCAATGTTGCAAAGCTTGAACGCATAGCCCTAAAATCTCTAAAATCCAATCCAGACATCGTAATTCTAAAAGCAGATAAAGGAAATGCTACGGTAGTCATGGACACAAATGAAAACATCCAATATATTCTTACAGACGGATCATATCGTTAACTTAAAAAAGATCCTACGTCATCTATGGATCGCAACTTTAAATCTGTTATTAAGGCTTCTTCTCTATCAGACTCCGTGAAAAAAACCTGTTACCCCTCATGACCCAAAAATTCCTCGTCTCTACAGACTCCCAAAGATTCACAAACCAGGATTATCCCTTCGACCTATTGTCAGCACCATTGGTTCTCCAACATAGCAAAATATCTAGCTTCCTTACTAAAACCCCTTACAGGAAAAACTGACAGTTTCGTACTTAATTCCTATCACTTAATTGAACAATTGAAAAGCATAACATTAGATACACAAGATATTCTAGTTAGTTTCGACGTGGAATCCCTCTTTACCAAAGTTCCTATTCCTGAGACTCTCGACATTATTTCAGATAAATTAAAGTCCGAGAATCTGGAATCAAACCTTGTCACCTTAATTGAAGAATGCTTGTCGGGAACATATTTTTCTTATAACGGTCAAATTTTTGAATAAACGTCGGGAACAACTATAGGTTCTCCACTATCACCAGTCATCGCGAATATATTTATGGAATCTTTTAAGAAGAAAGCTCTCGACACCTTGATGATATTTTTGTTATTTGGCCTCATGGTCAAGAAACTCTAGTAGATTTTCTTAGACGTTTAAACCTATACACCCTAGGATACGTTTTACTATTGAGTTGGAAACTAATAATAACCTTCCATTCTTAGATATTCTTATCAATAGAAAATCAGACCTAACGTTCGGTCATAATGTTTACAGAAAACCTACGCACACAGACCGATACCTTAATGCATGATCACATCACCATCCGGCCCAAAAATCATCGGCCATCAACTCTCTTGTTTACAGAGCCGTATAACTATATCAGCCCGACTCACTTAACCCAGAATTAAAACACCTTACCTCTGCACTTCTCTCTAATAACTTCCACATTAAATATATAAAGCGTTCCATCAAAAAATACACTTAACTACAACCTTCCAATAGCAATGAGGCCGAAAGCAATCCTACACTTGCCACTGTGGTCCTTCCTGACATTCAAAACATCACTGACCACATATCAAATGTATAACGTCAAAGCCAGATTTACCACTTGTCCAAAAATCTCTCAACATCTTCGGTACTTCAAAGACAAAATTCGATTTGAGATGCCAGGAGTTTACAGCATTCCATGCATATGCGGCAAAGAATAGATTAGAGACACCGGGCGAAAAATATCAACTAGACTCAAAGAACAAGAAAGAGCCTTACGACTAAGACAAATAAACTCATCAGCTGTTGCCGAACACACTCATGAAACCGGACATAAAATTTTATTCGCTAAAACTAAGATTCTTGCATGTGATCTAAAAACGAAAGAGTCTATAGAAATCTATGAACACCCTAACAATCTTAACCTCGACTTAGGTCTCTTGCCTGTCACCAATATGGGAATCAGTTATCCGAGACGGTGTTTATGCAGCTCATTTAGCTCCGCTCCCTCTCAAACAATATATGAGCAGGTACAGAGTAAAATACGAGCCAGTTTCAGTCAAACTCTGAAGAAGTCAACAGGATAATTGGCGAAACGTCACCAAGTTCGACTCAGCAAAAACAGACGCAGGTGGAATCCAGATGTTTTGTATATCTTATATTCTTCGTTAAACAAAACTAGTGCTACTGCAATTAAATCAAACGGACCAACAGCTCAAATTTTACTTTTACTGACCGTTTTTTGTTTTCTCGTAAGTTTTTTGTTTTTTGTGCGGCCTTTTTTCGGCACAAATAATTTTGCGTGCATAGAAATCGACCCACTGTAAATTTTTGACTTTAATATATTTTTTTCTAAAAACTATTCATCTGAGCCAAAAAATAAACATACTATTTGGAAGACAATTTAATATGCTTTAATTTGGGTTAAAATTTGTCAAAAGTGCTAATCTTTTATATACGTAGCTACGGTTAAACAAATGAAATGTGTTCATGCAGTAGTTATAGTGTTATAGACTTAAATTAATCGCCTTTGCAACAGGAATTTTCCCATAGTTCGTTTTTAACCATTTGAATAGCGTTTAATTGTGTTAGCTTGACGCAAAAACTCGCCAACGAGCTTTTGCTCGAAAACTGGATATGACACGCGCAGCTTTTCGAAGAGTATGCCAATAGTATGAGGAGACGAGATTCTTTGCTACCAGCCCTGAATTAGGCAGAAGGCGAATTACAACGGCTCGTAATGACCGCTTTATTGTGTTCATTAAAAATCGTCACCTTAATGTGGTTCAAGTGCAACAACAGCTCCATGAAGTTCAAAGAGTGGCTATTAGTCAGTAGACGGTGAGAAGAAGACCGAAGGAAAATAACCTTACCCAAAAACGACTGTAATTGGTCCAAAATTTACTCCAGCTCATCGACAAGCACGCCTACGCTTTGCACGTGATAATCTTAATCAGACATTGAACGAATGGGGGTCTGTTTTGTTCTCAGATGAAACCAGCTTTTTGGTAGTGACCGGCGAAAAAAAGTGTACCGAAGAGCAGGAGAACAATTTGCAGGAATGCTGCAATGAAGAGCTGAGCCCTCATGGAGGTGGTTCCTGAATGATATGGGGTGCAATTTCTATGGACGCACGAACCGACCCTGTCTTCGTTCGTAAGGTCGGCCGTGGTCAAGGTTCAGGAGGTTTAACAAGTGCTATGTACATCGAGGATATTTTATCACGTGGTACCATACATTGGAGTAGAATTGATTTTTATGCATGACAATGCTAGGCCGCACACCGCAAGAATCGCGCAAGATTATATTACAGAAGTAGGTTTTCGAGTTATGGAATGGCCAGCATGCAGTCCCGACCTCAATCCGATCGAACATTTACGGGATGAGCTAAAACGGAGGATTCGGGCTAGACTTCGTACCCCAAGCTCGATAGCAAAACTTATTGTTGCAATAGAGAAAAAGTGGCTTAACATTTCACAAGAAACAATATTAGATTCATGCCTAATCGAGTAAGATAAGTTATTAAGGCAAGAGGGGGTCATATTCATTATTAAAAAATAAGTTCTGAGTTGATAGTTGTCAATAACCCTATTTGTTTTAAGTAATAAAAAAAGTTAATTTGACTGGTGCCGGTATTTTACTATGCTAAATCTAAAAAGCAGAAATAAATTTTAATCAATTTAAACTCGCATTAAAGCATATTAAATTGTCTTTCAAACACCATATTTTTTTTATCTGATCAGTAGTTTCTATGCGATTAATATAGCCAGTATTGCCATTGCATAAAAATTAATGCTCACAAAGTTTTAGACATTTTCGCATTATGACGAGCTCCTATAAGCCAATCTGTACCCGAATATTGCACGTTTTGCCCCCTGGATAGCTGCAAGAATTTGAATCTCGCATTGGATGCGTAAATATAATGGCATACCAGTTAGGCGGGCTGGGATTATCTGTCATCATAAATCACAAGAAATCACGCAAACTTCGCACTTCCCATGTGGCGCAATCTGTTCCATGAAATCTATTTTGGTTTTGCGAATTCTTTTGTTGGCGTTCCCCTATTTACAAATAAGCGTCGTTATCAGAACTTTAAAACCGATTTTGATGTACTAAAATATGTTACAACTATTACAACAAATTGGCATTTGATTATGCGAAAAACCTATATTGAAATTTGTCACACAGCTCAAGACAGAACAGAGTATTAATGGGGATTTTAAATTTTCCCATAACAGAAAAGTTTAAAACTGTCCTTGTTAGAACTTTTGGTAACAAATTCGGAATTTGACGATACAGATTGCCAATTAAAAGTAATGTATAGGTACGAGTACGATGTTTAACATTTTTGAATATCGTTCCACAGTTTCACGATGGCGTCTCTCTGAATATGTTGTGTAAACCAGACGATTAATTATTCAAGTAAATGAAATTAGTGAATTCGGCAAGCAACCCTTTATCTAGTCGAACACGGTTCAGTTAAATTCAGTTTTGGTTATACGATGTAAATTTCTCCGATCCTAATTTCGAAGTGGAACGGTAATTTTAATATCCAATGTTTTACGGTCAACAGACGACACGGATCACAATATATCTTATTAATCACAACCGTTGGATACATATTTTAATCGCTTTGAAAGTTATGGTTCGATGTGCTTGCGGATAAATACGAAATTAATGTTTGGAACCGATGTTACGTCCATGCGGAACTTTAAACGTAGCTACTAGACATTTTTGAACGACCTTGAACTAAAAAATTAAATAATAATGAAAAATATTTTGGATGTAATTGCTTGGCATCAATTTTTATATATTTTTTAAGAGAAATATTGCGCTAATAATATATAATATAATGTGCCGCCAAAATTTATCTCGAACGTGCGAAATCATAAACTCTTAAAAAGTCTTGCCATTATTGCGAAGCTGCGTGATATATTTTCGGGCATTAAACGATGTGTTCAATTAAAAAAGCTTAGATATATGAAAATAATGGATATAAAGGTCCCCGAAATTTATCCATTTATATCCGAGGACGACGCACATGCATGCGGAAAGCCTTATCTTTATGATCGGAAGCCACTCTAATAGCGTTTCAACGTTAAATAATCCTAACCTGAATCGCACTAAAAATTGTTCCGACTTTTTAACACATCTATATACTAACCCCTTTTTTAAAAGCAGCAGATATACATCCTTTTTATTGGCCATAAGGAATTTTCATATTGGCCGATTGTCGACTTAAATAGGGCAATGAAATTCGCTATAAATCGTGGATATAAGTCGTTGAATTAAAGAATCAATTGGTTTAAAAGTCACTTCACTTTCCTTTGCAGATTATCACTCTCGTTTAATTGATTAATCGCACTTATTTACTAAAATAAATTGAAAGAAAACATAAACAAACCCACGCAACCACTTGAACACTTACCGATTAAAAACAACGATTAAACAAATTAATCCAAATCATATGATCGGCAATGTGCACTTGATGAATATCGGTATGAATCTGGTTTGAGCAGTTCCTGATGTCTGCCTTGGTTAACAAAGTCACTGTCTTCAGCGTAAGAGAAAGGGGGGTCTGACTGAATGTCGGTCAGGTCATTCGACTCATCCGGTATATACGTCGATCGGAATTTAATATAAATTTTACTGTACTCCCTCTCTATTTAGTATTACTTTTAAATTTCACTTATAGCTGAGTATCGTTACTAAACTCGTTAGGAATAAGCTCTACGTATGTTTAAATATTAAATTAAATTGAATTAATTTGAATTATTAACGTTTTTTGGCTGTTATAGGCGTTTATATACACAGTTACTCACGATCGCTAAAGAGAAAGTAGAAGAATATACATACGTACGATTTGTCTCAGGATGTAATTGATTTTTGCGAATTTGTTTTTAAAGTTCCTGTTTTATTAATTGTACTGCACCTAGTTGCGGGCAGTACATTTTATAAGAAGGGTGCTCTGTGGCAATTTAAAATCTAAAGAATTAAAATATAATAATAATAATAATAAACGTCCCTTATTTCAGATAGTAGTATAACAAACACACAATACATAAACTAATTAGTTGTACCGTCTGCTAGCTCTACTGAACCAGTGCGTAGCACAATAGTACAAAACCAAATTTAAAAAACCAATTGATAATGACGCCCAATCCTAACCACGAATTTTTAAAACATGGTTTATGAGAAAAACTGAAAAAAAAACAGAAAAAATCTCTATAGAAGATTCTGTAGATGCAATAATTCTTTCTTTTATTTAATTTTACTAGAATTTAAATTTACCGGGTTATTAGGTATTGAATAATAATATTTAAGGGCGTTACACGAAATATGGCACTCCGATGATGAGGCATTGTTAAAAATGCCCTAGCCCTAACATTCCTATTATGAATTTCGCGCATAGTTTATAGCCTTTATTAAGAAAGTGCAGAATGTAGTCTTCTGCGAGACTCCATCCTAAGCCACCCAACTTTCATTATTTAAACAAAAACCGTATACAAAATTACAGTAATTAAAAAAAACGACAAGGGACTCGACCTAAAATTTGTCTATTATTGTATAACATTTGAAATATGCTGTTTAAATGCCCTTTAAATCTAAGCTTGCAAACAAATACTTAAGTTTTTATAAAACTTCTGGATTCCTCCTGCGTCGGTTTTTGTTGACTCGAACTAGCTAACGTTTCGCTATTGGCTTCTTCAGAGCTTCAGAGAGTTTCAGTCAAGGTCTGAAGAAGCCCAAAGGATGATTGGTGAAACGTTAGCTAGTTTAAGACATCAAAAACCCACGCAGAACGAATCCAGAAGTTTTATAAAAAGTATTACAGTAGCCTGTGGAAGTTTCTTTGAAAAATTAAATACTTAAGTTCTTAGCATTATTAACGAAGTTAAGAACTGTGCCATCAATTGAAATACTCAAAGAATTTTTGATCTCATTCGTCTTATTTTTATTCCCAAAATGTAATAACGAAAATTTTGTAGGGTTTAACTTAAGATTATGGATGGCTCTTGGAGAGTTCACTCAAAGTACGTAAATCGTGATTTATAATTTTTTCTGCCCCCAAAACATCATCATCCTCAAAACAAAAATAAATTTTTCTATCGCCGTCAAACGCTTAAATTTTATAGAAAGTTTCCGAAGTATACACAAGAAATAACAAAAATTTACCCCTGTGGCACCCCGGCCTGATCCGAAAATTATATATATATATATATATATATATATATATATATATATATATATATATATATATATTCGAAGTGTTTTCGGAGCGCGAGCATTGAAGATGCCAAGTGAGATTTTGGCGAAACGTCTGCAGGATTCCAGTCGGATGCAAGATTTGCAGGATTCCAGTCGGATGCAGGATTCCAGTCGGAGTTCAACGAGCGAACGGATGATATCCCGGAATATAGTGTCATCATATATATATATATATATATATATATATATATATATATATATATATATATATATATATATATATATATATATATATATATATATATATATATATATATATATATATATATATATATATATATTTCTTTATTTATATTTAGCGTTCTATTTATTTCTGTTATTGTTAAAAGCTTAAAAGAAATATCACCAGCATTCTACAATAATGTAATTTGGGGACTAGACGTATAAAATACAATTAAACATTAAGCACACCATTGCACAATGAAGTAATTGAATTGTTTATTTATTTTTTAATATACAATTTTTTTATCTTACACTGGTAAATATGGTAAAAGAAGGGCTTGAAACACAAAAGATCAAAGTGGCAATCTAGTTTCTGAAGTGGAAGAAAAATTAAAAATATGGCAGAACTACATTATGAATCTATTCATGCAAATGATCCAGCTATAACCATTTCAGAGGTCCAATACGCTATCAATACGGCAAAAAGTGGAAAAGCACTGGACCTGAACGACATGCCAGTGGAATTACTAAAAGTCATGGAAGCAGATTGTCTCAGAACACTCACACAATTATTGAATAAAATTTACAATACTGGGATTATTCCAGATGAATGATTAATGTCCACTTTTGTTACCCTACCAAAAAAGTCGAATGCAGTGAAGATTTTAAAACAATTAGTATAATGAGCAATGTCTGGAACGTGTTCCTCAAAATAATTCACAACCGAATCTCCAAAAAATGAGATGCGAACATGAGTGATACTCAATTTGGGTTTCCTAACGGCTTCCTCTTGCAGCGATGCTGTACTGAGGATAGAAGGCGTATAGGGGAAAAATACTCCTAACCTCTAGAACTGTGCTATTCAACCTCTACTCTGATGACATCTTTAGGAGAGCGTTGGATGGAATTAGGAGTGGAATAAAGATAAATGGAGAAAATAGAAGCAACATCCGTTCCGCCGACTGCGCTGTTTTGATAGCTAACTGTCTGCAGAACCTACAAGAACTAGTGAGGTCTCTTAATATTACCAGCATCGAGTATGATCTAGAACTTAATGCCAAAAATACAAAGTACATGGTTATCAGCAAAACTCCAACACCACTGCTCATCAATAACGAAGTCATCGAAAGGGTTGAGAAATTCACTTATTTAGGAAGCACTCTGTCTGAAGTATGCTCGAAGCACTTTCAATACAATGTTGGAGCTGAATAAACCAATAGTAAACTGCTACATCTATCCAGTGCTTCTGTATGGAGTGGAGAGTTGAACAATATAGGAGGATATGGAGAAACAAATTAATTCCTTTGAAATGTGGATTTACAGAAGAATCCTGAAGATACCTTGGACTGATTACACAAGAAATAATGAAGTCCAGAACAGAATGAGATGCTAGCCACAACTCTTAGTCACAATTGAAAAAATACTTTGAATACTTTGGGTACGTCATAAAAAATGAAAATAAATATCGCTTATTACAAAACATCATGCAGGGCAGAGTAGAAGGAAAAAGAGGGTGGGGTGGAAGAAGAATCTTCTGCTTGGCAAACTTTCGCAAATGGTATGGTGCTACCTCCACCGAGCTATTCAGATGTGCTGCCAAGAAAGTTCGAATATGTATCTACATAACATCTAGGATACTCTACGCACCGCCATCTCAATTTTTTTTAAACCTTATTGTTAATTTCTAATTATTTTGTCAATTTTTTGATAATTTAGCAAAATTTAATATTAAGTCTCTAATTAAACTGATCTTACATATGTAATAAAATCAGCTGCCCGCATTTTTAGGACAACCGCAATAGACGACTAGCAAAACAATTTTAAATGCATTAGAATGGAAAATAGAATAATGATTCGATGAACATGTTAAGGTCCATTTACGTCAGATAAAACAGTTTTCTTAATAAATCTTTTTAACGACGTGAAGCTCATTTATTTTAAGCGAGTACTTGGTTGAAAAAAATCGATAGAGCAAGAGCGTTTGTGCTGAAAAGTATAAACTTTTCACGACGCAAGAAAATAAAACAAAACTGGTCATTAAGGTGCATATTGTGCCGAAAATCATAAATCATTTGTTTTCTTAAGTGTCAGTGGTTTCGCGCCGTTTTGAACTACGTAAAATACTTCGAAGAAGTGCGGTAGTTTTTGCTCCCGGTTTAGATCGTCTTAGAAATAACTTCGCCGGGTTTCTGATTAGGTGAATTTGCTATGAGGCTCACACGCGAATTAGATAAGTAACTTTTCTACTTTAAAGTTTCGGGCTTCATTGTTATTAAATTAATAAAGTTTTAGTAGACGCAAAGCTATAAAGGAACAGGCAAACGAAAGCAATAGAAAATGGACCATCAACGAAGTAAAACTGAAATTTCTGAGGCCAAATAATTACCATACCACCATGTCCCGACGACATTACGGCGACACCGCAACGCGCCCAGGGTGTTTTTATATGCTTCTTTCCCTTTTTTCCTAATGCTTCAGGGGTATATTGTCGTAATTACGTTTACGTCAGGCACACGGACGTTTTGCACAGAAGAAATAATAACTACAAATCTTGGTGGTTACATTTTTATTCCTCGTTGGACTAATTAGACTCGATATCTATCGCCCCGTTTATAGAGGGCAAAACTCAGTGTAAAGATTTTTGGAAATGGAGTATTTTTGCTCTAAAAAAATTAAAACAATTGCCTATTTTCTGCGCCCTGAAATAGCCTGGTCAGAAACCTGTAGTGCCAGTTGTTTTAATAATAATAATAACAATAATAATAATAATCACAACGTATTATGGATTTTGTCAAGTCAGTCAAAAATAAGTGTATGCAAATGAACTAGCGAGCTACATTAAATTCTTATACAATAATAATACAATGGCAGAACACAACAATACAATGATGGCAAGTAGGTAAAATATTCATTCATGTATAAAAACAGTTTTCTAGAAGGCCAATTTTAGTTTATATTTAAAAATATGTAATATATTGAATATAACACCGGTGTTCGTATAAATTTTTTTTGGAAATTTTAGTCTATTTTTTTAATAGAAAAACAGCCTTTATTGCACGTGTCTGGAGAATCTCTTTTTTTTTTAAGTTTTATAAGCCCATTAATAAACTATACTTGTAAAAACTGCATATATATATATATATATATATATATATATATATATATATATATATATATATATATATATATATATATATATATATATATATATATATATATATATATATATATATATATATATATATATATGGAATAAGTGGAAAAGCTTTAAGTTGGATAGAATCAAGAAGAAAAGAGCAAGCCTGTTACTATCAGAAATATACAAAAATTGTTTCTTTTGTATGTTAACATTTAAAACACAACAGAATTTTATTTCTTAAATTACTAACGACGCTGATAATATCAATGTTTTAATTGTAACCAAACATACTGCAAAATTTAGGCAGGAGGCAGAGGCCAGATAATTTATTAAATTATGGTTTTAGAGTGTTGGGTAGATATCACACAAATTATAATGTTATATATGGACATTGTAGAAGCATACTGCAGAACTGTCGATAGACAGAAGCAGAAACTTTTTTGAATATGGTGAGTCTCAGAAGGTGTATACTACACGAACAATATACTATGCAAAGTCCACGCACAGACACAGATTTAGTCAAAACAACGTAAATAATGACATTATTTCAATATAATTATTGTACTTTCAAATAATAATAGATGATAGATAAAGATATTTTACCATTATTATTATTATTGCTATGTTTATACACGCTAAAGCTAGTATTATAAACTGCCTGAAGAGGGGTCTGTAAGAACTATTCGGAGACACTCCAGCAATACACCTTAGAGAAGAGAATAGTCACTCAAAACACTTTTTAAATATTTTATTAGGAAACAATATCCAAAAAAAGTTCATTGGTGCTAAACCAGCTACTTAGCTCTACAAGTGCAGAATTAATTTTGCCTTTAAGAGTTTGACAATTATGTGAGGAAATTAAACTTGAACATAAATACCAACCACATATTAATGTTATTTAATTAATATTGTAATTAACTAAAAAGTGGTGAAAACGAGTTTCTCACCAGAAGGTGCAATTTCAGTGAAAGCAGTGGATTTAATAAAATTTTACGATCTGAAATTTTCATTTAAATGTCCAAAATGGCTTCTACTCAACTGGTTAATTACTTTTCACGAATTAAGTAGAAATAAAAATATGACAAAATAAATAAGATCTAAAAGTTCAGATTTTCACCAAATTATCAAATTTGATCAATACACGTTGTTGTCAAAACTATTGTCATGTGAATATATATAATTTCGTGAAAATCTGAACTTTTATTTTGTTAAATGGATTTTCATCAATTAACCTCACTTCAATTTATCAAAATATTAGTCTTTAAATTCCATTTCTAAATAACATTATTATTTTTAATCGTCACCAGAATTTATTAACTTTGAGAAAATTTGTTTCCGCTACAATGGGTATTTGAAACTTAAAAAAATAAGGAAAATTTCATAAAATGCTCGTTTGTCAGCAGTGAAAATATAAATGCCTTTCCCTCGACAAGTGTAAATTTTGCAAGTTTAATAAAAATGTTCCATATATCATTTGCTGAATTAGAAAACGGAATTTCCTAGCACCCAGGCATATTCCGAAAAACATTGCATAGAATACAGACTGAAGGTTTAATTTCAGGTTATTCCATATGAATTATTTTTCGAGCATTTCTAATTATCACTTTAAGGTACCGCCTATGCGCAATTAATACCTCGGATCGATCTGTCCGCGTTTTCCGGTTACTAAAAACTGAAAGTGATAATCATTAAAGCGAACTATGCGATTAGAAAAGTTTTTGTGAAAACGAAACTAGGGACAATACCCGAGCGATATACCCAAACAGATTCCGTTGCTTTATCTGTCGTGGAACATAAAGAACTGGTTTTTCTATTATGAATACATTTCACCAGCCAGCGGCGCAACTTGCATCGACAACCGCGTACTTTCTCGTCAGTTTTACCCACTTCTACACACAAAACGAACATTAAAATAATTCGAACGAACTAAACAAAGAATTGCTTCAAAAAACAACCTCTCGAAAATGTTCTCGAGTGGCTAATTCTAAATTTGGAATGTACTTCCTGTGAGTACGACTATGTTTTGAAGAACAAGGTGAAGGCAACTGACCACAAGTGAAGATTAAGGTGACCCAGTGACACTGAAAGGGGTTAAAGACATTTCATTCGAAATCCAAGCGACGAGAAAATAAAGTCAAGAGTTGGAGTAAGTCGTGCTTGGTGTACAAAAACCCCGTAGTCGCATTTACCTGCTCGTTTTGCTAATGTCCCAATGCAAAACTGACCAAACCGAACACAGACAAACATGCGACCGTGCGTGATATACTTTGTTGCAACAGTTGCTTTTGTATTTGGAATTCCGGCCCGATCCTCTGCGAACTTATTTGGTGAGTTCCGTGGTCCATGTTTGGTTTTAGTTTTTTTTTGTTTTGAGTGTTTTATGTTTAGTATTAAAGGCCGGCAAAACTGCGAAACCGCAAAAGTTTTTTGCCGACATCGCGAATAGACAAATAATACGCCAGGGCGCTTACTGTGCAGCACGGGGTAGTTAATCAAATGTGTCATGCACTATAGTTTAGTTTCGAACATCTGTTTCGATCCTGCCTTGTTAATGCATGTAAATAGCGTTTAGTTTGTTGTGCGCACAGAAAATCGGCGTATTATATGGTTATTTAATTCCGGAGGTAATGAATTTGACGTCACTTTGTATGTTGTTAATTAATAGCTTTTTCCGAGCAAGTTTCGTTGTTCAAATATCCAACCGCCCACCTATCTACTTCTTAAAACTTGAAAAATGCACACAACGAAGTGAATTAATATTAAATTTTGAAATAGTTGTTGCCTGAACGACCCAAATTCGTGGAGAATGCTACTTCATATTCATTGAACTGAGGTGGCTTTTCCTTGATGAAAATCCATTTAACACAATAAATAAGAAGAACTAAAAGTTCAGATTTTCACGAAATTATATTTTTTTACATGATGTTTCGACAACACCCTGTCTTTATCAAATGTAATATTTACAAACTACCTGCTACTATATAGGAGAAGTATTTAAATCTAATTGATTGTTAAGCAATAAATTTGAATGTCTCATTTTGTTAATCTCCATGGCTTCCAATAAATTTAATTTTCTACGTTTTGCGGCTGTATGTAAAATATCAAAATTGTCGTCAAAAATGTGTTTTTCTGTGTTTAAGTGTGTAGCATAATTAGAATCTAGACTATTGTTTTTAAACGCTCATTTATGTTCGTTAATGCGTTTCTTGAAGGATCTACCTGGTTGTCCAATATAAATTTTAGGACAATATCTGCATTTCAACCTGTAGACACCTGATTTTTGATATTTTGGACATTTCGTTTTATTGTTTTTTAAATATTTTCCTATTGTGTTGTTAGTTCTGAAAGCTATTTTTAAACCACATTTTGACAAATAGTCTAGATTCTAATTATGGTACACACTTAAACACAGAAAAACATTTTTGACGACAATTTTGATATTTTACATACAGCTACAAAAAGTAGAAAATTAAATTTATTGGAAGCCACGGAGATTAACAAAATGAGATATTGAGATTCGCACAACAACATTAATTAAGGCTTTATAGTCATTTTTCGGTATATATAATAGCAGGTAGTTTGTAAATATTACATTTGATAAAGACACGGTGTTGTCGAAACAATTGTCATGTAAAAATTAAGGATTACTATTAGGCAAAGAAACTTTCAACATTTAAACACAAATTGTGATCCTCAAGAGAGCCATTTTGCTACAATCTAATTGAAAGAGCAAAAAAGAATTTATCTACGTAAATATTAATATTTGGTGATTACACCTGATAATGAAAATTGATCTTCTGATCATGAAAACTAAGAAGTTCTACCAAACATTATTAGATCTTAGTCTCTATCACTGGGTATACGTGTTGATAATTCAGTGACGGGTGACACTGATGATATTTGACAACGTTTATTTTAAAAACTCCTCTATTTAAATATCAAGTTCGGAATCGCATCGTATAATAGTGCATTACAAATTGCTTGGATTAATTAATTAAGCATAACAAAAATTAGTTTTAATTGAAGGTGAAATTGTATATTGTAGACGATCCAAAGCCGGAATTTTAATCTTGGAATGATTTAAATTTAATACTAGAATTTCACCTTTAAAAGCTGAACATTAAGTTCTTAATTAATTTAATTTTAACGTTAAATTAACGGCTTCACTTTTGCGTTCGTGGGAAAATCGCAATAAATGGCCGGCTCGTTTCCTTAAATTCCTCTGAATTGAATATTTCTGCGGTACGCGGGCTTAATTTTGATTAAAAAATGGACCCATACATATTGTAGGATTAAATAAACATCACAGGAATGTATGGACAAATCGATAGCTTTTGCGTTATTTGATCCGCTTTCGGTGCGTAAAAAATGGTTTATTGTATGCCTGCGCGTTGCTCCATTATTTAGAAAAAATCCCATCAAATAAATATGACATGTTTGCGATATTAATAAAGGCGTCCCAACTATTTAACAAACTACACGACGTGAAATTTGTATGACATCCATTGTATGCTTTTCGATGCTGTGTTTTGCATAATTTATCGGATAGAGGTCGCTTTTTTTTTCCTCTTTGTTCTCTTCGAGTTCTTCTTAATACGCATACAATGCACGTAAGCTGACAGGAATATTCGATTTGAAGTAAGGCGAGTGAAAAGAAGAAAATATGTTTTAGAATATTTTTCGCTGGAGAATGAAAGCGTCGATACTGAAGGACGGGAAGAGAACGGTGAGAACTTGGCAGATTGCGAATGCTTGGAAATGTCGTGTACATGCTGCGTGGATTTCAATTTAACATACATCGATTTAGGTGGACCGGGTAAGATTTCGGTTGGATTTGGTGACGGTTTATATCCAAAAAGCTATTTTTGTTTCCCTTCAAATATACAAAAGAAAAGTTCAAATTCGACAGGAAACAACTAAAAGTAGATTATTTTCCAAACAGAACCTGATTTGATACAAAAAAACGCATAATATTTTATGGTGCGTGAGCGCACCACTGCTAACACCCGGTTTCATTTTTGGTGATATTTTACAAATGTAACACTTATTACAAACCTAAATTGTGTGGTTGTGGCAGATTCTACATTTCCTTCGGGTTTTATTAGCATGAACAATCATGAGGTGACCTTGATTATCATAACGCACTTCATCTATGGTAGGTGAAAGATTTCTTTGAGTAATTGTTTTATCAGTTTTTAAAAGTCGCAAAGCAATGTAAAATTTAAAATCAAATCAATCACTTCGTCACCAAAGAACATAAAAAAATATTTCAAGCGGAGTTTTTCCAGAAAGCCTATAGTTTAGTGCCTCACATGATCTAAATTCATGGGATATGACCTTTCTTCCATTTAACAGTAGAAGCAAGCCTTTCGTTTGCATTTCGTTTGAATTCCATTGTTTCATCATCTGATGAGTCCCATTCAGGTTCAGTAGTTGATGAATTACAGGACTGTTGAAGGACAGCTGTATCATTCGGTGGATGTAACTCGAAAGTTCCAACTATATCATTTAGTTTCCCAAACTCTTGTAGATTTATGTTATCTTTCATATCATCTTCGTCAGTCAAGATATCTACGTCGGGTGGAATATAGACTGCATCAATATGTTCTGTAAATATTTTTTCACGTTAATTTTAGCATAAATTTCCAAGGCATGGAATGCTACAATATATAAAAATACGTAAATCCAAATAATACATCCATCACGATCTCCTCCATAGCCGCCTTTTGAGTCAAATACCTCGGAAATGCCATATTTTACGAATTGTAACGTTCACTACACAAGGCACAAACTAATACTAAAGAACACGCTAATTGTTGGATATTTATTCTGCATGCCCTGACTTGTTTAGACTTGCAATAAAAAAAGTTTTGTTTCACAGATAAAACCAGTGGTGCATTCACGCACCAGTAAATATTTCCAAAAAATAAAGCATAATCAATTTCCAATTTCCAATGAATGTTTTCTGCGATGCTATACATACTATAGACAACAAAAATGGCAATACAATTCCAAAATATTTTTTTTACTATATTTTTATTATATTTTGGATTTATTTGAAAATGTGATACAAATTAATGTACCGCTTTTGTTAACTTTTGAAGTCATATATAAGATCTTTATACATAAATTAGCGATTTCTACGGTTTTATGTCCTTTAATAGTGATAATAATAAAATTTCTAAATGTATGTGCAAAAATATTTCCTGGATGTGTCAAAAAAATTATAGAATAGATGGTGCATTAGCGCACCACTGAGACAAAATGGGTTAAAATACCTAAAATTCTTACATTTATACTATATTCTTAAAATAATGGATAGTTCGAGATAGGTATAGCAAAATTTGAATATAGAAGGTGCGCTATTTAAACTGGCCTTTGAACTTGCCTACAAAGTCAAATTTTTCAAATCATCACTTATCTAATAATTTAGGCCTTAAGTAATTTGGAAAAAGGAAATACGTTATCGCTTTAGAATATCTGAATAATCTAAACGATCTCCATAAGCATAAAGCGCCGATCTCAAGGAGTAGGTACACCTAATTTCTTTTAGAATTTCTCCGAATTTTTCTGTTATTCTTTTGAAATTTTTCTCGGAATTCCTGAAAATATTTCGTTACTCTTTCTGAACTCATCTTTAAATAAAATACAAAATTAACCTTTTAAATCTTTAATGATAGCATTGAACTGCATAAAATAATGATGATGGTAATAATAAAGTTTGATCACATATAGGCAGAAAGAGTAAGGGAAATATTTCAAAAATATAGTTTGACAGTGTAATAAAGGAATTATCACACAAGTAGTATAATTTTAGGCATTCAGGCCTTATACCCCTTATTCTCTAATCAATTCTAAAAATTTAATTTAGTTTAATTATAAAACAATTCTTGGGGACTATATTGGGGAACGTTTCTAGCACCCATGTTTTTAATTTATTTTTCTTAACAGGCATTTTTCACTCTGACATTACACAGATCTCATTGTAACGTGTGGATTCAATTTAATTTTACCTCCATTAATGCTCATTACTATATTAAATATAACTAAGCATATAGAAAACAACTACCTATAAGTTCAAAGTTTTCGATTCCTGATGTAATATGCCTTTACGGTGTTATTACAAATTTTCTATTTATTTTCAGAAGTATCCTCTTTTGTATTCCCCAATGCAGTGATAGATACTACCCTATGAATACAATAACGCATAATATAGGGTCGTTCAAATCTAAAAAATTTATCTAGGTGTCACAATCTGGACTGCTTTTGTTGAGCTATGTGTTGGAAACCGTTGATCTGTAAAATAACAGATCCTTTAACGATAAGTTATTGTATAAGAATTAGTTAAATTATTAGTATACCAAAATGTTAATAGTCCTCCAAATGATGAAAGAAAACAATGCGGTATTAATAGAACATCAAAATTTACAATATACTCTACGTTACCCATATCAAATAATTAAATGAATATAAAATTTAATTTAATATTAAAATGAGTATTATAATAAAGCCCATAGTATAAACATCCCTTATAGGAAGATGTATTAAAATTAATTCAACAAATTTTCTCTTAAACTTGCTATTGTTGGTAGTTCGATGATATCATTTTCTCAAACTTATTGTATTATTCCGTTTCGTTTAATTCAGGTTGCGTTAAGATGAAATATCTTTCTCAAGAAGAGGGAGTGTTGGTAAACGTATCGTATGGCGAATCTCCTTTGCATAGCCAGCAGGTTAAGGGTTCGAAACCAACGGCGACGTGCTTGGCACTCTTAACAAACGTAGCTGAAATGTGCGCTCGATTTCCTAATTTGGAGCCACACGATGACGGTCTAAAAGGCTGTTTACTTTTGGAGCCCAAGTTACTAGGGGCGGTAACGTCTCATTTTAAAATAGGGTGCTTCACGATGGGACCCCGAGGCATGGCCTTGGACAAAACAAACGACACTGCTCCCGCAGAAAGTATACCCGTGATCGCCGCCACAAACGTGACGCAAAATCAGTAAGTAAAACGGTGGCCGCTTTATGTCGCATGACCGCAATTTACCTGACTGAAATCTTTCCTTTTTGAATCGATCGAATGCCTTATTTGAGATTTACTACGGGGAACAACTGCATTTCGAAAGTTAATAGAGAAATCCCGTCTAACATAAAACGCGCAATATATTCTTCTCTAGTATTATCCATCCTTGCCCTGAATCGTTGCTCAACCTTAATAAAACTCCGTAGAAATACACAAAATAAATTATTCGGGCCGACCGCGTACAGTAAAGAAAATTGATAATATAAATAAAACTTAACGTACAAGTTGTGATGCAAATTGAAACTCGTCCGTCTAAATGTGACTCGAACATATTTCAAAACATTATAACTTGGGGGACATTTCCATAAACTTTTGTAAGTTTTAAGTATCGAATTTTGGTACTTTACAAATTTTTTCTTGTACCATTACGTGGAAATAATTTAATCAATCTACGAGAAAAATGTCATGTAAATGTAAAAATTGAAAAATATCAAGAATAAAATTTAATTAAGGAAAAATAAATAACAACTAAAAGTTCAGATTTTCACGAAATTATATATTTTTACATGACATGACAAAATATATAATTTCGTGAAAATCTGAACTTTTAGTTCTTATTTATTTTGATAAATTAATTTTCATCAAGTAAAAGCCACCTCAGTTCAATTTTAATTAAGGATATTTAGTAAGTAAAGTAGTAAAATCATAAAAGGAAAATCCGAATGTTTCAATTATTATGAAACTAGGTTACTTTAATTCCAATTTTTTTTTATTTTACTTTAACACTTTTATGTACTGAAATTTAATTTTTTGTTGTTGTACTTTTTGCGAATTAAGTAGATATAAATAAATATCTAATATAGAAATTCCTCGATAAAGGTGTGAAGGGTATAGCTAAAGCTATTATTAAAAGGTATTTTGCGATCTAGTGAGATCATTATAATGGCGATTCCAAGAAAATTTGATATCGCCTGATTTAAAGCTAATTTTTTTTCAGGTCCGATTCGATTATCAGCGGAGACTTGTTGGCGATAGTAAACGAAACTGCAGAACAAGGGTTGGCTTTCATTAGTAACCTATTGGGATTATCCTTCAGCGATGATGCATCGGACGTGAACCCCCAGAGTTCTTCGGCACCTGCTAATCCCCCATCCGAGTTACCACATACTAAGAAAGATTCGACTACGTGAAAAATTCGGCGTCAAAATCGCCCCTATTTATCGTTATGAAATTTTCATGTCAAATTCGGTCGATCCCAGAGATTCGCATAAATTTCAAATTTCTGTGGATTATACACAGAGAAAGCGGTAATCCGCTACACTCAAACTATCCCCGTAGCGTTGTTGCTAACTAAAACAGACACGTATAATATATCGCTGGTGCGAACATTACATCAAATTGGATATTTATCCAGCTTTGCCCCGTCTGTAAGCGTCCCAATGGAAATTTTACCGTTTATTTTGAAATTATGGCCTTTGCGGACCGAATTAATAATCGACGTTATTAATTAGAACAGGTAAATTGTTTTTACGGCGATAAAATACTTTTTCACCAAGCCGGAGTGATTTTGTTTTGCTATAGTTTCACCCATTTAAATATACATGTATTTAATTAATTTTACAGTTTTATAGTTTACAAAAGAAAACAAAAAAATTATAAGACCGTTTTTTTAAATTTGAAGACATCCAACATTTCATTAAATAATATTAATTTATAGAAATCAACGTCACTTAAACATTCGTGTTACTTAGATCGAGGACAAATTTGAAAAACTGTAATACGTCAACGCAATTTGCTTATTAGCAAAATCAGTTTCTAAATATTGTACAAAACATTCAGTTCAGCAATTAGATTTATAGAATTTATATAAAACTCTTAATAAGAATATTAGGCGTTTTAAAAAACAATAAGAGTCTTAATAAAGGTTCCGTTTGGCCAACATAATTTTTTCCTAATACATGACAGATGCTTCCTCATTCGTTAATAAATTTAATAATAAAGTACTGCGTTGCCACATTTTTATAATTGCAATAAGTACATGAAGGTACTGGATAGGTTAATGAATATTTTTTATAGCACAAGGTTGCAATAACAATATTTTTTTATACATAAATCTTTTTTTACACCTGTTTTTCGCCTTTTTTTCTTGATTCTAGAAACGCTCATATTAAAGCAATAGAAACAAGGCTCCAATTTTAGAATCTAGATTGGTATAAGCTGTGTACTTCAGATTTTTCCCATGTACAAGTTACTATTTGGTGTATTGTTAATTTCCCTATTTGTCTTCATTCTGTGGAAAAAGAAATTTTAACTATTATGTAAGTTTGCTGGGTGTTTAAAGTATTTATTTATTTATTTTTTAATTTTTTACAAATGTACTTGGCTAGTTTTGTTCAAAATATATTATTGATACAAAGTGTGTTTTCTTTAAAAATTTTAATGAATCCCCGGGAATAGCGACATCTCTGAGAAAGTGTGCTTACCATGTATTTGCGGGATTCTATAGAGGACTGCTAAGTTCGGACTTGATATGTACAACCGCGAGATGGCGCCATGATGACATTCCCTAAAAATCTTTATTCTTCTAAAATTATGGATTTTATATATGTAATTTAATTTAAGTGATAAATAAGATCCAAATGAGAATGTACATTTAGAGAATGTCCTTTTAGATGACTATCGTGGACAAGGGCGCTTGACCTCAAAGGGAGAGAATGACATGCGTTGAGATGGGAGGTGCAAAACAAAACCATCCAAAGGTTTGCTTTCTTACATAATAATAAATAAAATAATCCATTTTTTAAAATCCGGTATATTTCCATGTTTCTACATGAATTAATAGAAACTGAAGTTTACAAATAACTTGATAAAGTTTATACATTAACAAAAACAAAGCTAAACTAGTTAAATCACAATTTCAGCCAAAATTTTACATAAATAAAAGTATTTTGAATGTAAGGTGAGACTTACTACTGGATACTCACTCAAATAAAATTCTGATTACTTCAGAACACCCCTTATAATAATTATTAATAGGTAGATTATAATTATATATCTTTATATATCTTGTACTTCTTCATCTATCAGTGCGCTCTGCATATTTGTAGATTTTTTTATGGCATACAGATTAAGAGGAGTAAGTAGATAATACCAAACATTCTGCTGTTTAGGACGAAAGTATAATTTTCAACGTTCCAGATACGGAAAACCTAATAAGTTTGTTGAATTTTATCAAAAAACATTAAAAAATTTGAACACCCTGTTTAAAAAGTCTAATTAGATTGAAACAACAAAATTATCTCATTTTTTTGTTTCGTTTCCAATCTGTACAGAAATAATCATGTTTTATTTTGCAGAAACGTTAAATCTGTATAGGATACAACACGGAAATACTGTACGGGTAATATACGAGTTATTATAGCCGTAGGAGGTAATTAAAAAATATATGGATATATGTATATATAAATAAAGGTAATTCTTAAATAATCAGAATCTTATGCACTATACACTTGCAGTCGATGATCTCAAGGAAGGCCTCTACCAAACTGACTGAGTCATCTAGTTTTTAACCAATTTAAAATATAGAAGCGACTTTTCCATTTTTATGTATTGAGTTTCACGATATGAACATTAAAATACTACAATATACACAACTATTATAAAGTAGAGGGTGTACTTTACAAACAGTAAAAGTTCACCTACATGCAAATAAAGGTGACAGATGACACAAAATATTTTCTTGTTATTAACCACAATAATCTGTAATTAGTTCACCCCCTGCTCTGCTATATAAAAGACACCATAAGATATAGTAAAATAATACATTCATTTAGAATTCATAAATGAATATAACATTTCCAACTCGAGCTAAATCCCGCGCTTATTGATTTCAGCAAACACTACAAAACTGAGGTCCCTTCCTTATTAGAACCAACACAATACAAATACATAACAGAAATGATTAAATCACCGAATTTTTAATATTATTATTATTCCGATTATGAGGGGGTTGAAGTAAATCACAGAATTGTAAAAGTGTTTCCCTCAAGGGTCTGGATACTTGAGTAGACGTAGTAGTCGTACATTCGACTAAATACGGGTATAAGCAAATTAAATGTTCCCAAGCTTTATTGTCTTCTAAAAATGCATTTTTCCCAACCAAAGATACATCTTTAGTCATGAACTTACCTTTAACTGAAGTAACTTTTTTCATAGACACAATTAGGGTTGTTAATGCTTTCAGAACAAACGAAATTTCGGAAAGACGATACCTGAGGACAAATAAAAATTAATTTAGAAAAGTTAAAATTCTTCATATTGGGTAAAGCCGTACTCAGAATCTTGCAACATAATTTGTAATAAATCTTTTTAACCACTTACCTTGGTAAAGGGCACTTTCCACTCAATTTTTCGTCCTCTATATATTTCTTGAGAACTTCTTCAAATCGATGGAGTAATGATGTGACAGCAAGCTGCCCGGCAAGTCCATTGGTTTTATCATCACTATTAGATACTAAGTTTTTATAATCCCCATCTATCAAAGAGAACTGCAATAATGTTTCAAAACATATTTTGGCAAAATCTTCCCTTAAAGTGAGTTCAACATCTCCATCATTCTTTACGTTAGTCGCTGAATGTATAGATCCTTTATTAAGAAGAATTACAATCTGCATTATAAATTCCTTGGGTATACTATCTGAAAATGGCAAAACTTCATTTCGTAGTAACTCAATAATTTGGCAATCAATTTGTTCATCTGAGACCATTTCCTCTAGACTTTTATCCCCTGGTCCGGGACTACAACTGAAACAAAAGCCATTTTAACTAAAATATAAATTTTTGTAAAAAATTCTATAGACACAATTTTTGAGATGTTGCGAACACTTACTTGGTAGGGAATAAGAAATCATTCAAAGTGTCAGCCAATTCCTTCCACATTGAAGAAAACTGATTTCCATGAGATCTGGCTACTTTTAATCCAATCTTTAAAATGGCTACTAAACTGTTAGCCGCCAATTTCCAAACCGTGCTTGAAACACAGTTGTATTTTAAAGCTAAAGGCGTATGCAAAGTTGTAATTATATCTTTCAAGACGCCGGCATTAATTACTTCTATATTGTCTGCAGTCTTTTCAAATAATTTTACCACCATGTTTGTCGCTTTTTCCCCAAATGGAACATAATTCATAGTGACCCAATCAGAGACTTTGGTATGTTTGTTTTCAAGTTTTGAAAAACTCGGTGGTGAACACGTGAATTTGGCGAATTTTAAATGCAATTTGAATAATTCAGGAATCATTTTACCATTGTTCTTGCTTAATACTTCTTTCTGAACAAGTTCCATGGCATGTAACACCCCATCATGCAATGGGGAAAGGCTCAAATCCGACGAAACAGATATAATATATGGCGTAGTTTCCCCAAACACAGGGACACTTACCGCGTTTGACAATACTACCCCTAAATGACGCAAATCCTCCAAGGTGAAGTTATTTTTAATATGTTGAAAGACGCTGGGAAATATTTGCACCAGAGCTGTCAGGAAGGTTTGGCTGGGCAGATAGAAATCATCGCCGCTGCAACTATTTTCATTTTCTATTATGGGAACTGTTATTTCTGTACCTATTTTAATCCATATTCTCCAAGCAACATTCCAAATTTCTTTGTCTTCTATTAGTTTACTATCGCCGGTTTGGTTTTTGCTCACAAACAAAATTTCTTGGAATGATTTCAAAGCTGCTATACTAACTTCATTGTTTTTACTCAGCGCGGCGTTTTCAATGAATTCAAGTAATATCGACCAGGCCCTAGGAAAGTCTCCTAAGGCCTGTAGTAACTGTCTCTTAGTGTTAAACACTCTGGCAACACCGGACAATGTAAGCACTTGCGTTTCTGCCCATTGCTTTTGAGCAGTATTCCTTGAATGATGTATTAAAATGTTCCCTCCGGCATCGACCTTCTCGCTACTGGCAGAGTCAGATAATTTTCTAACCTGATCCAAAAGAGGAAACAAAACCTGCCAAATCACAACCTGCCACGTTGACTGCTTTAGCAAACCGCCGTGCGCGGATATAGTTGAAAACAAAGTTTGACCTGCTGACTTTCTGACAGCAGGGCGAGTGTCTACACACAAGTCACCTAATCTGGCATATAGACACATCCAGAGCTTATCAAAACTAGGCATGTCTAATGTTCCTGGAAAATCTGGAAGAACTGTGGAATCAACCCCAACCATCTGGCTTAATTTCCCTTGATTCTGATTGAAGTAATCAGATATATTCCACTAAAAATATAAGTAGACTTGTAATAGAATTAGATAAAGTGGATTTTAATAAATTCTTTTTTTATACCATGAGTCCTACTGATGTGAGTGATATGTTAAGCTCTTGAGTTTGCGAACCAAATTTGGCAACAGTGTCGACACATTGTGGCAAACATCTCCATGGCATCACTGGCAAAAAGTCTGTGATTACTAACTGCAGACATTGGAAAGCAATTCGGATTAAGTTTTCCCTGAAACATAAAAAAATAATTCAATCTATAACCAAGTTGTGTAAAAAAATGATAATACAACATACCCGTGCTGATCATTGACGGCGCCAATGATACCTAAAATAAGGGGCCATCCGTGGGAAAGTGTTTCCCCATTAGTATGCAAAATTGTTAACACACACTCCAGTTGCCTTTGACGAACATCTCCATGAGGCACTGATGACAATTCATAAAGAGGGCCCAAAAGTAGAGTTTGCAGCTTATGATTTTCTTTTAGGGGGATTGCATGTTTGTAATGGAGGGCTGCTTTGACTAGGTAGGTCACAGCTTCTACTCCCCACTCCCTCATTCTAATATGAGGATGATGACACACTTCCAGCAAATGATTAGTGAGGGGCCTCCAGAGCACTTCAACCCTTGACATATTCACAATACCTACATATTTTTTACTGTACTTTTCCCTCCCTATAACGAGTTTAGAAATTCTTACCAGTCTCTAGTAATTTTGCAACAGCAAAAAGCGATGGCTCTCTATTTGAAAAAGCAAGCTCCATAGCTTCTTGAGACAACTTACAGAGCGCATTTATCAGGTGATGAAGGGCTACATCATCTAAAAACTGGCTTGATTCAAACAATCGACTTAACATTGTCGATAAAACGGGCAAGTCAGCCATTACAGTCGTTGTAATTACTGCATTGGTTTCAGTTGATGCCCTTCCCGCTCTTAAACTTCCACCTGTTGATGGTTTTAAGCCCAAAATCCAAACCAAATGTTGCAGGGTAGTTAATACCATATGCCATGAGGTCCCCAAAATGCTTCCATGACAATGAGCTAAACTTAGCAGCGCTCGCATTGACTGCAGATTTTTTGAAGTCAACATCACCGGACCTTGCTGTGTACCAGGCGGTACAGAAATTGTTGGAAGGGGAGTTCCAACTGCAACAACCTGTTGTCGAAAATCACATTCACCATACTGCAGCAACATATTTTGAACCTCTCCCATTTGGCCATGCTGCTTCAGGGTCACACCAGAAGTCACTGTATTTAATACAGTCAATGCATAATGGGGCGGTAAAGAAGACTTGCAAATAGCTGTGATAAAAGCGTCCCGTGGTGTATGTAATTCTAGTAAACCACAAAGTGAAGTATAGGTCTGCATTGCCTTTAAAACATTTTCAGTTACTGATTCATCAGTACTGGCATCAACTAGAGGGCTCAGAGCTGCTAGTAAACCGCACCAACTAGAATTTATTAATTGACAATTCAGTTGTCTATTGGGTTTAGTTTTTGGTGCTTCCTCAGCGTCTTCTGGTTGTTTCTGAGGACTTATAGTTATTTGCAGTGATCTTATAATTTCCATTAAACATGCATAGGCTACCGAAATCCCATATCCATCAGGTATGACCGGAGGTTCAACTTTGTCCAACATTTCCAGGCTAAAAAATATTTTATGTTTAACAGAGAATGTTTTTGTAATGGACACTTACTAGGTAGGTTTTGCCTGTCCTGTTGGAAATGTTGCAACAATGGGCAGCCAGACACCTCTTAGAAGAAATCCAGGTTGAGGCGAGATACCCGGTCCTGTTGGAAATCCTCCCAAAAATATTGGAGGCTGAACTTGAGGCGCTGGTACTGCAAAACTACTGATGACCAACCAAAAAGGTTTCAAATCTAATTACTTACTGCCAGAACCCAACTGAAGTTGCTGACTAATAAAGAGTGATTGAACATAAGCACCTAATGAGTTAACAATGTCTTGGAAAATACTAGTTGTATGTTTATTTAGATCATAACATTGACAAAAAGAAACCAACAATTCTGGCTGGACAGTCATTTTGTGTAAAACTTCCAAAGCTAAAGCTCTCTGCCAAGTTGGTTTATCTGGATCAAGGAACTTCACTATCAAGGATAGGAATATTTCACATTCAGTAACCTAAAACACTTTTAAATTTAGTAAAATTTGAATTATACTTGTACCTCTCACTGACCAATAGGCTGTGATATTGCTGTACGAGTACAGAGACAACCCTTAGAAGCCTCATGCTGATAGGAAAATATGGTTTTTCAAAAGCAAATGCCTGTTGTATGCTTCTGGGAATGTTCATCTTATATTTAATATTTGGTGAAAATAATTTTATTATCAAAGCACAGACTCGTTCTTTTAACAGGAAACTAAACTCTGGGTTCTACAACAGAGCATCTTTAGAGTATCCTATTACAATATAAATGTTAGATGAATATACTTTGTAAAATACAGATGAAAACTGGGTCAGAATGGATTCAATTAATGCTAGTCCAAAAGTCCTGGTCATTTCAGTCATGCCAATTAACCAGTAGGGCTGATCCCCACTCACTAATTGAACCAAATCTTGAAATAGGAGATATGCATCCCCAGCACATGCAGGCAAACCTAATAAAATTATTTTTTCAAGAAAAATTCACAGATTTGTAAGGTTTTTACCTTTGGGGGGTGTACCCTTGGATGTTTTGAGTTCCTCAAAGTTAAATGAATTTCTATGTGGCTTTTCTTCTGCTCTTAATGATAATTGTTCATCCTCAGCCACAACTCTCTCAAAAACTAAATAAACCAGCTGTCTAACTGTAGCACCGGCTGTATTTATTGTGGTTGAATTTTTAGCAAAATGGAGACGAAAACAAAGTACCAATGTCTAAAATTGTATCAGCATTAGTTGTACACCAACAGTTACTTTTCTTGACCCTACTCTGGCGAGTGTTTCCCCATGAACAACTGTATTTGTTGTTAGCAATAAAATAACAGTCTGCAAAATTTTCACTTCTTCAATGCCCAACGTCATTAAATCCCACAGAGTATTAGTTATGTACACAGCACCTTTCTGGTCAATCAACTGATTTGTGATCAGTTTCTGCATTATTTGTACACACAGCTTCAAAAAATTTAATATGAAACAAGGGCATTGTATAAAATAATAGCACAAACCTTTATTATCTTTACATCTTTGGTTTCACAACCTTGTGAGATGGGAAAGATTATTTGGTTGACTAAACCATAAACATTTCCTTGAGCTGATGAAGCAGTTTTTAATTTTCCAATTGCCTCTTCACAAGCCTAAAAAATATAAAACTTTAGAATTAAAAACATGAAAACCCAGGCATTTCACCTCTTTCAACAGCGGATATTTCTTTTTTGATTCACTTGAAAGGCTTTTCAAATCATTTTGAAGACTGTCAATTAAGGTTGTTGTTAATTCTGCATTGTTTACTCCACTTTCAAAAGACATTGTTGAAGCAATTTTAAAGGAACCACGTATTGATAAAAAAAGTTAAGGTGAGCTGGCACCTGTCAAATTGTTAACTAAATTTCCTATTTGTTAGCGGTTTTTGTATCCGTAAATTGACCATATCACTAGGTTATGAAAGATTTCGACGACCTAAAATTATTAATCGAATGGGTGATAAATTGTTAATTGATACCCATCATCTACAGAGAGAGAAATTTACGTTTATTTATTCACTATACAATAAATACAAAAATGAAGTTAGCGCTGAATATGTCAAACATTAACCCTACTTTTAATTTCTGTCAGCCACCACTCCCAAGTAATGCACGTTAAGCGCATAGTACAGTAAAAAAGAAGACAGCAATAAAGATTTCATTCATGGTCTGAGACTTCACCTGAGTGTAGTTACGCGGCGTTTGGATAGGGGGCAGCATGAGTTCTATAATTAAGATGAAATAAAATGTTTTCCGGGTGTACAATGTACGGTGTTAGCTGTAGGTTTGACACGTGACATGTTTTAAAATGCAAAGCCTACCAAAAAGAATTATACCCACGCAAATCATGAAATTCTACGCTTATTTCTATTATCCACCAACATATGGTTTATAATGGTTGGTTCTATTTTTATACACTCTTTTTGGACTTACCGAGAGATAGCAGCCATAACATATAGATAAAAAAATGTCTACAACCTGTTAGTGTTAGTGTTAGTGTTGGTACCTAAAAAACAGGATCTTTAGTGACAACAATCCGAATTTACTTTTCAAATATAGGTAGGTACATTTTATATACACAATGCATTAAGTCGGACACAAAACAAGTGATAAAGCGAAATTTTAGTACTAGTTTGTCGTAAAACATACAAAGTAACGTCGAAATACACATGGTTTTAATGACTAATTTCCAAATATTAATTACGTAGCAAAGAAGGTGAAGGAAATGAATTGTAAAGAAGACCCTTTTCTTAGAGTAAGCATTCATAAAAAGAATAAGATATCCCATTAATCGATTTAATGGCCAGTCCAGTTGGAGTTGAAACTGCTAAATTTAATGTTCTCCATCACCATAAAATCACTGCGGGCTATAAAACTATAAAACGGCTTGATATCGACGTGTTTTATCTATGCATTGGGCGTTTTAACATAATTATGGAGTATCAGACGTACTCATTTCAATAAGATTGTATATCATATTTAAAAAATCTACGCGGTTATTTAGTACTCGCATCAATCAGCATTCTGGAAGCATCCTCCGTTGTCCAATCCGCATTGTCGATTTATCAACGAAGGATGTACCTAAACACAACCGGAGAAAAAAATTGTATTCATAAACATATACAAGCAACCCAAAGCAGAGAAATATGATAATACGGAATACTTTTTTATCATTTGAATATAGCGACAATAAATCTCCCGAACCAATATCTAATATCTTAATGTAGCAGGACAAAAAATACTCTCCGGACTTCTTCTGTGCAAGGAAATACTTTTGTCGAAAATAAATGATATACGAGAAGAGGTCGCTATATTTTATCTTTCTCCTTGTATTTCTAATTCAAATGAATATATACTCCCTTGACACCAGGGTATTAATTATTTCGGATTTTACGTATAATTTGATTTTTATGTTGGGTGTTGTTTTTATTCTAAATCGGCAAATCGGCAAATCGGCCTCCGTTTAGTTTTCACGATTTTCGCACCGGAAGTGTGTAAAAATTTGTACAATAAAAAATAAAGTGGAAGCAATTTATAAAAGCGTTTTTCGGACTTTCACCCCCTACGGCAATTTCAACAAATGCGCGTCGTGTATACGTACGCCCAACGTCAAATTCCGTAAAATGCAAAGTAATTAAAATAGAAGCCCCACATTTTTCGGTGGTCGTTTGTAATTTGACTAATTGAAATGTCGCCCGATTTTTTTTTTATTTTCTTCTCGTTTGATAGGTGTGGCAAAAAAATTCGTGGTTGCTAAAATGAAAAACAAAATGAAACAAAAATACATCATTTAATGAGAATCGTCTATTGAAAAAATAGTAGATTATTATTGTTTATAAGTTTATTGATATTAATAATGTTGGCTATGCTCCTAGTTTTAGTTGATAAATAAGCTTTTTAAAATTATTAGTGCACCACTTTGTCAAAAATTTGCAACTACGTAAAAAAAAGAACATAACCTATTGCCATCATGCAGTAGCATTAGTACTCTGAATATTTATGTAGGGTTTCCCAAAAGTCATGTTTCAAATTAAAACAGCTGACGAAATAACTTTCCTCGTCTTAATTTGATTTTTGATTTTTTAAACTCGAAATACGTACTTGTTGGAAATTTTAAGTAACTTGATAACATGATGACATAATGGAATTTTTGATGCAAAATTGGGTTATTGATTATCCTAATTGTCTTTCCTTGATATTTTCCTTTCATGTTCACTTGGGCCTTTTTTGCAGTGTTTTAGTTAACAGAGAGGACAGGATTTTTTTAAAAGAAAGTTTACAAATTGATTTAACGTTCCACACTACACTAAAAAGTGGAATGAATTTACAAAAAAAAATGTGTAGGAAAACGTGTTTGTGTTTCCTACAACTTTGCAGAAGTTTAGGGCAACGCGGACAATGTCAGCAAATTGACGAGCATTACAAGCGGTATGCCGTGGGGTATGGCACCTGTCATCGTTGTAGAAAATACCAGCTATTGAGTTTCTCGTTACTTTTTATATTTCTGTGGCGAACTTTGTAACAAAAACAGAGGTAAAATAAAAAAAATAGAGTGCCTTAATAATGTTACGAATTACTGCACTTCCGCTATTTATCATTATTAAAAAAAATCATCGATGTTGCATAAAATCAAAAGCAACACCCTATATTTTTTTGCATATTACAATGATTGTTTTTGAATTTTAATGCCAACTTTTTGGAAAAACGTACAAAATGTAAAAAAAAATCATATGATCTCCTATATCCTGCACCAGTGAGAGTTTAGTAAACTACCTAAGCCCATTATTTCATACATGGGGTTTTCTAAACCGTTGCTAACTGTTTCCTGTGATTTTTTAAATATAACATTTTTTAAAAATGGTAATAAATAAGCTACTGCACTGTTAAATTTCTTAAAATTTAGAATATTTTTCATATGGCAATATAAAACAAAAGAACTAATGATAACTTTTGATAAAGTACATCATCCAACTCTAATGATAAAACTCCGAAATTTCGGTATGCACGGCGATCTCTTCCAACTATTGCAAATCTATATTACAGAAAGAACTCAGTCTGTTGTTGTCAATGGTAAAAAATGTCGTGCTAATGTTACCTCGGGTGTCCCCCGGGGATCTCATCTGGGTCCTTTACTCTTTAATATTTTTGTTTTCGATGTTGGCCTTTGTTTCCCGGTTTCTGTTTATGCTTCTTTTGCCGATGATTTAAAAGTAAAAAAAGAGATTAGTTCACATTTAAATGTATTAGAGCGATCTTGACAGATTTGCTGATTATTGCAGAAACCATAGATAGTAAAAGACTTGGGAATTGTTCTTGACTCACAGTTAAACTTTGAGGCTCATATTGAACCTATTGTCAAAAAATGTTTTAGAAATCTGGGCTCCATTTTGAGAACTACCAAAGGATTCAACAAGCATCAGTCAGTAATAATCGTGTATAATAGTATGATAAGATCTGTACTAGACTACTCATCCACAGTTTGGAATCCTATTTATAATAAATATATCATCAGAATATAAAAAAAAACTTTTTAACAACTTAAATTTTAGATACAACAGAGATCGACACTTTTGCTCGTATGAAGAAAACTTAGTGTTACAATTTGAAGTCGCCCGGAACTCGATGAAACTGTTTTGATATTGATTTTGTTTACAAAGTTGTAAATAACCTTGTGGATTTTTCTTTTTGCATAAATTACTTGAGCCTTAATGCTAATGAGCGATTTAGGTCAAATTACTTTTCTAACTCTCCTATAATAAGATGTGCTCGAACTTACAATAATTGTGTTTTTCTAAGCGGAATAGATATAGATATGTTTAGTTCAAGCCTTAGTTTATTTAAAACAAACGTATATAAAATTCTTTAGCTCGTGTTATAATTTAACTAAATCCAACCTTTGCTTTCATTGTAGAGATTTATTGCTCACTTTCCCGATTGTGTTAAATAGTACAAGCCTATATTGTGGCATTCTGTAATTGGGTATGGTCTGCTCATAGATATAAGAAAGTGACCAATTGTTTTGAATGGGATTATCCAAGGGTGGTCATTAACATACAATGCAACAAGATTATTACCTAAAGTTTCGGAATTTAAATTCAGGTAAAATTGTGGTCCGTAATAGAAAATAATTTTATACCTGCCTGTGTTTAATATTCTTCGGTTTGGTATACTACTTAGTTTAAGTTTATTAGTAATCATTCTTATTTCGTGTGTAATACAGTGTGTGTTGAATCGTGTGCGAATTATGCAAAATATGTGCGAATCTAGTGTATCTCAGGAGATGCTCCCGCTCAAATGTAGAAAACACTATTCTATTGAGACTAAGGAAGTTATAAACAATGTTTATTTGATTCTCATTGAACGTGGTGCCAGCAAGCAAGCATCTTTAGAAGAAACGGCTACATTGACGAAAATTCCAAAATCAACTGTATGGAAAATTGTGAGTAAGATAAGTGTAAAACAAACGCGCCATCAAAAAGAGGTAAAAGAATAACTATTTTGCATGCTGGCTCTAAAAATGGTTGGATTCCAACTTGACTTTCTCTGTCTGCGAAAAATATTAAAGATTCTTCTCTGGATTACAACGAAGACCCCACCGCTGATTTATTCGAAAGTTGGTTTAAAGACAAAGTAGTTCCAAACATTCCTCGTAATTAAGTTATCACAGTAGACAGTTGACTAAAACCCCTTCCTCATGTGACACAAAAGCAACAATCGAAAACTACATGTATAATAACGATATTAATTTTCACGAAGATTGTACCAAAAAGCAATTAACTGATTTTCTACAAAGCTTGAACCTACAAAAGGAATACGTCTGTGATAATTATACAAAAAATCTAGGGCATACAGTTTGAAGGCTTCCACCTTACCACTGTATATTTAATCCCATTGAACCTGTTTGGCACCAACTGAAATCTGCCATTCGTAGTAACAATGTTTTTCCTCGTGTTAACTGCAATGTCCTCAAACTTATAGAAACCGAAGTTTTTAACATCCCTCCACATAGTTGGGCAAATTCCGTTAAACATATAGAAAAAGCAGAACAATCGTATATCTATATTGCAAATAATATAGAACAAATAATAATTAGAACAGGCGATCATAGCGATAGTGATACTGATATATTATGTGAATAATTTTAAGTAATTTAAGTAGGTAATAAAAATAATTGTAATTTTATTTTAGATTTAAACATAAATACCTACATAAATAAATAAATATTGTTTAGTATCTTTCCTAACAAAACCCGAAATAATTAAATTATAAGCAAAGTACGGACCTGTTCGGCCATATTCCATTCTTACAGCTTGCTCGGGTCTTTCCTTAATTCGTATCAGTTAGTCACTTTCTTATATCTATGAACAGACTTTACCTGCGTCTGCCTGTTGAATGGCCTGTGACATATAAATATATAAATAAATAATATGATTTATTATATACGAGTTATTTAAACTATGCGTGTCAAATTACCACAGCGCTGGTTTGAATACAAATCCTATTGGGTTGAATCGAACAAAGTTGTATATTGAAACCGCAACTATATTGCGGATATTGAT